AAAAAAAAAAAAAAAAAAAAAAAAAAAGAGAGAGAAGAGAAACATACCAGAGAATCAAATGTGAACACAAAACCCCAAGCAAACCTACTAAGAATGAGTCCCATTCAAACGATACTTACAAAGGTTTCCTCAGGCTGTTTACAGTTTTAAAGTACATTTACTTTATAAGCACCGAGGAATTCTTTGTTTAATGCCGTCCTAACATGAAAGTTCACATAACTGCTTCTTCAAACCATGATACAGAGCTTTATGACAACCTAGAAGTGGAAACCAAGAGAAGGCAAACGTGATGCCTTAGAGATCAAGAAACATTTACACAGTTCAACTGTTAAAAACAGTACAACATTCACGCAGTGAATCCAGTTTGGATGTCAGTATACACAGCATACAAGTTCTTCAGGGAGGTGGGAGGCCTGTCGACTGCTCTCCAGGTGCCCCCAAATGCTGGGCCTGTGGATCTTCTTTCAGAGACTGGTTCTCCTCCAACGCAGTCTGGGGCTCGACACCCATGGGTTCAGATTTCCAGGAAATGTGACTACCATCCTGTTGCTTAAAAGACCAGATATAAGTACGTCACACAGATGTTATGACTTTCACTCAATCAGCTGAAGCTATATGACTAGCACATTCTATCACTGACCCAAAAATCTAACATTAATATCTCAGGTCAAATTTGATTACAACAAATAATAAACACGATAAAAGTCTCTACAGAACCACAATTTTAAAAGCCCTCGTGACAACTCACTTGTTCCAAGCCGGGGTCCTTACCACAAAAATCTAGTCTATTCAATCTAACGGTATTTGACCTGGAGCCACGGTTGGGGAAAGAAAACCAAGCCTTCCTTTAACCTCTGACAAACAGACAACCAATCCTAGTAATAGTTTTGCGAACAAAATACTCACGGTCCTTGCCTCTCCTACTCGTCTTAAGATGACACCTTCTGCCAATAAAGCCTTCCCTGCTTCCACAAATAACTTCTCTTCATCTGTTTCTCCAAGTTTCTGTAGCTCAATGTACTTCTCCACAAACCTAGAATTCCAAGCAGTCACATCTTCGGTCTGTATATTGAGAGTTGTCAAGACATGCTATTACACAGTCCTGAGTATTCCCTTAAGAGAACTTCCTAGGGAGTTTGGGATTGACATGTACACACTGCTCTACTTAAAACAGATAACCAACAAGGACCTATGGTTTAAAAAAAGAGTTAATTAAAAAAAAAAGAGATCTTCCTATAGGAACATCTCTTTCCTCAAGTGGAATGCAACAAAACCCCTCAAATTGACAACTAAATCCTAAAAAAAGAAAGGTAACCAAAGACTTATGGAATGGCTTACCGTTGACAGGTAGACTTGAAGTTTGGATTGAACAGATCAAAAGCTTTTGGACCAGATCCATAGGTTGAATAAAATTTCCTAGAAAGTACAAAACAATACAATATAAATCTCCAGTTATAGATCATGGCCAAGAATGGAGGAAAGAATAACTGCTGGGCCCTGAGGAAGCGAGTACAACATGACCTACAGACCTTTTTTGTTCGTTTTAAATAAGCAATGCAGGCACATGGTAAATACATCAAATGTTACAGAAAGGTATCCAGTGAAAAGTAACACTCCTCCTCACCTCTGCACCCTAAACTCCCAGTTCCCCTCCCCTTAAGCAACGCGCTAACCCGTTTCTTGTGTATCCACCCAGGAATGTTCTACCACTATACAACCATACATGCATCTATCATTCCCTGTCCCCAGCCACGCTGTTTAACCCCAAGGATAGTAAACACATCTTTCCTTTTTACTTAATATTTCTCAGAGATCATTTCAAATCAGGGCACGTAGATTGTTTCTAGTCCTTTGCTACTTTAGACAGTGTTGCAATGATTACCTTTATCTATATTTCTTAGTGTACCGTGCAAATAAGCCTGTGGAATAATTTCATAAAAATGGTATTGCTGGGTCAAGGTATGTGCCTTTGTAATTTGGCCTTGCAAACTGCCAGAATGCTTGCCAAAGGGGCTGTGCCAAATTATACCCACACCGGGAAGGCAGGAGACCGCCTATTTCTATACACCCGCACCTAATTGTACCTCCTGACGTTTTGACCTTTGTCCATCTGACAGGTGAAATATTATAATTCATTGTAGTTTTGCTTTTCTTACGAAACAGGTTGAACATCTTTTCATGTTTAAAAGCAAATGAATTTCCTTTTCTGTGACCTGTCCACGTTCTTTGCCTACTTTTCCGCTTGGTCTTTCTCTTGACTCATAAGCAAACTTTATAGCAATATAAACAGGAATTAGCCCTCTGTCATACCATGTTGCAAAATTTTTTCCCAGTATGTCACCTGACTTTTGATTTTGCTTATGGTAGTTTTTGTGTGCAGAAATTTTAATATTTTCATCTATGGCTTCTGGGTTTTTTTATCATGCTTAGGTAGGCTTTTATCACAGAGATTATTTTTTAAATTACCCCATAGTTTCTTCTAGAACTTTTAGGACTTCACTTATTACATTTAGGTTTTGATAAACCTGAAATTTATTTTGTTGTTTTAAGTTCTTAAAAATATCAAAAACACCAAAAAAAAAAAAAAAAGGCCAAAAAGATAAAGGTTCAAAAAACGATTTAAGTATAAGGTGTTATTATTTTGGCCTTAACGGCAATAAAAGAGGAAGCAGTAAAATATTCCACATTCTCCAGTGACCATCACCCAGTTCCACTGCTACGCACACAGTAGAAGCACAAATGATTTTAATATGTAAATGACCTTGAAAGCATCCTGACCGAGAGCATGCAATGGACCTGAGCAGGAAACTACTGAAGAAGTATTTAATGCCCCAAAGATCTCTGAAAATTTACAAGCAGAGCCAGAACATACTTGTTCTCCTACCTCAAAGGAGTGTCGTGGGAGAAAAAAAAAAAGATTCGTCAAGTGAAAGGTGCCTGGACCTCAATAGAGAAAATGACTTTATAAATTGTTTTCTTACATCCAGAAATAGGGATAAGAATAAGGTATATGTATTAATTTCAATTAGGCACAATCTCTGATCTTAACATTTAAAGACAAAAGAAACTGTACACACTCTGGATACTAAAAACTGACATCCGTATTCGAGGGAAAGGGCTTTGTCAGTGAATTCCCAGTAAGCTGACCTTGAGCCTCATTGTTCTCATGACTAAAATGGAGACAAGGATACCGACCAACCCTGCAGGGTTGAAGTAAGACCTAAATGAGATAACGCTGGTTAAGGGCTTAACACGGTGCCAGCCACCAAACAGATGTGCAGAAACAGGTAGCTATCATTGCAATGATCAGTCAGTTGTTGGGCTCCAGATTCTACTTCTCTGAACTTCTGCTTCTCTCACATGGGTGAGGGCCTCTGATTCCCTAATCCGGCTAGATAGACAAGACCGGCTCCACAGAGCAAGCCCAGACTCAATTCCTATTTAAGTTGTCAGACTGCTGGCTAAACCTTTCCTTCTAAAGTTCTGCAGCCTCCTGTCCACCATACGGGCCCGGCACTCACGCTCTAATCCGATCCTCGTGGTAGAAGATGTCCTGGATGTGAGCTTTCGCTTTGCCGTATCGCAAGTGGGGCCTTCGGAAGACCGGCTCCCTCAGTGGCGGGAAGGCATTATATATGTCAAACCAGAGGGGCTTCTCCTTCAACACACCAGCCCGCATCAGGTCCCGCGTCCTGAAGGAAGGGTAAAGAACGAAGGTCAGAGGACTTCCCTGGTGGCACAGTGGTTAAGAATACGCCTACCAATGCAGGGGACACGGGTTCGAGCCCTGGTCCCGGAAGATCCCACATGCACGGAGCAACTAAGCCCGTATGCCACAACTACTGAGCCTGCGAGCCACAACTACTGAGCCCACGTGCCACACTACTGAAGCCCGGGCGCCTAGAGCCCATGCTCCGCAACAAGAGAAGCCGCCGCAATGAGAAGCCCGCGCACCACAACGAAGAGTAGCCTCTGCTCGCCGCAACTAGAAAAAATCCAGCGCACAGCAAGAAGACCCACTGCAGCCAAAAATTAATTAATTAATTTAAAACCAAGGTCAGTCAGTGAATCAGTGTAGCCGCAGCCCGGGACACCGGCGGGGGTCACAGAGTCCGGAAGACACCCGGAAGGAGGGCAGAGCAGGAAGTCCCCTACCTACAGGTAAGATGTTTCCATATTCCAAACCAACCTAACAGTGCTCGGGAGTTAATCTTCCACCTTCTTATGTGCGTCCCACCCACCTCGCCCCATCCCCGTCCCGTCAAGGAAAATGCAAAGACGGTCCCGCCAGGCCCATCAGCCCCTTCCTCCCTTCCTCTTCCTAGAGACCTCCACTCGGGGAGCGGACAGGTGCGATCTTGAACGTGAGAGCTAAGAAATTCAAGGGGTGACGTAGTCAAGCACAATTCTTCAGAAACGGGAGAGAGCACAAGAGAGGCCTGGCCGGACTCAGACCCACCCAAGAAAGGGCGTAAAAAGCGGAGGCGCCCTCGGCCCACCCCGGCTCCGAGCACGCACCGCGAGAAAATGCTCCCCACGGTTTCCAGGCGGCTCCCCGCCATGCCCGCCGCCTCGGATCCCGTGTGGTTCCTCGTACCGGAACCGGAAGCGCCCGCAGCAGGCAAAGTGACTGTAAGTCGCGGGCCGAGCCGCGGATCTCTGGGCTACCGCCCGGGCCCCAACGGGAGGGCGGAGCCAGGCAGAAGCAAAGGATGGCCGCATCGGCACGCCATCGGCTACACGCCAGGTTCAGACAGGAGCACTCGATAGCCGAGCCGCCAGGGAGGGAGCGAGCCAAAGCCCGGCAGAAGCAATAAATGACCGATCCAGGGGAGGGGTTAATTGTGGTGGTTGCTTTACCCTCCCTGGCCTTATTGAGCCAACTCCGCCCAAGAAGACCGGGCCGTGCGGAGGGAAGATGATGGGGAGGGAGGAGGGAGGCGCAGCCTAGGTCCTGGGAGAGCCAACTAGTCTAGGAATTCGTAAGGCAGAGATAAGAGGTCACCAGCTCTAGGTACGGGCTGCACCTAATTTTGGTTGGACTCAAAGACTGCGCGGAAGGAAACCGAGGCCCGGGGAGGAACGTCACCCGCCCAGGGTCACCCTAGAGCCCAAGCCTCCGTCCTCCGTCTCCTACTGTTTAGCGCTCCCCACTAAACCCTTTGGCCCTGGAGCGCCACCTGCATGCGCTCTAATAGGGATGCTGCGGGCAGCTAGGGTTTTCTCCCCGGGAGGCGTCGCTAGCTAGCTGTTCCTTAGAGCTTGAAAAGTGAAAGTGTCCGGAACAAACAAACTCCGAGAAGGAAACTCAAAAATCTGGGGAAGTATCCTCTCAGCATAACCTTTTGTCCCAACAGTCATACTTTGGGTAAAGTACCCCATAGAAATTAAAACACAATTTCACGAGGATATTTGTGCAGAGATCGTCATTGCAGCATTGTTTGTAATGCACCCTCCCAACCATCGAATGGGAGATGGCTGGAAAATTATGCTTCATATAATCTATGGAGTCCTATGCAGCTATTGAAATGAACGAGCTAGATCCATACGTATTGACCTAGATGAATGCCCACGACTTACTGTTAAATGAAAAAGGAAATTGCAGAGAAGGTCTTTAATCAAAAGAAAAAAGAAATCTTTTAGACGTGTTTGTATGAGGATAGAAACTATGTGGAAAGGCACCTATGGCTGTGAACATTGATTATCTCCAGTGAGATTGCAGGAGGGGAAGGGAGAATTTTTTTTCTTTATGTATTCTTCAGAGTTTGACCTGTGAAGAGTTTGTATTCATTTTTGAACTTTTTAAGCCAGTGAAATGTTCTGAATCACATACACACACAATATCTCCGGGGAGCCCATTATCTTTGTCATCAAGAAAGTGACAAGTCATCCCAGAGTCCTCCCTGCTCTCTGGGAGGCTGGTGAGGTGGAGGGGGATGTCTGATGAGCAGTTAATACTTGCTTGTGTTCTCTCACCGAATCCACACACCTACCCACAACTGGCTGTTGTTATCCCCATCATAAATGAGAATGTGAGGCCACAGGGAGTTAAGTAACTTGTCTGATAGGTAACTGACAGAGCCAGGCTTCCAGCCCCACCTAGGCACTTTCTAGGACCCCACAATGCCTCCTTAGCCATGCCTCCGGCTGGAGACTGATGGGCTGAGAACTCAGGCAAAACTGGTGCCAGGGGCAGGGGACAGGGTGATCTGAGGCCGAGGGCTGAGAGGTGGGTTTCACTGCTGCCTCAGGACCCTCTGGAGCAGGGAAGAGAGAGCACAGCTCTGGCCGCTGGGCCAAGCATGGAGTCCTAGGCAGGTCTACAAGACTTTGCTCTAGGGAGAGCAAACATACTCGCAGCTAAATATAGTCTTCCCAGGCTTCAAAACAAGTTTCTAATTCCATCCAAGTAAGAACTAGCTGCCAGGCCAGACCACAGACACACTTCCCTTCTCATACTCGGGACTGCCCCGTAGGCCACTGCTGTTACCCAGTTACCGCTGCTAAAGAATTAGAAGGGCTTATTGCAAGTTCAGGGAGGGGAGCCAAAGACCCAAACGCTCGATGGGGGAGGAATTGCAAGGTGGCAGTTTTCTCTCTAGATCTTCTTGGGGAAGTCCCTTCCTCTTCTGAGCCTTTCAAGTTTCCCCTCCAGCATCCTATTTCATGCTTCTGTGACTGAGAACGGAATGTTGGTGGGTAGTGTAAGGAACCATGGAGATGTGGGAGCAAAGATGCATTGGGAACCCTCTGAACCTGCAACAGGAAGTTGCATCCCAGGGAGCATTCATTCATCACGTAGGAGGGAGCTGGGGGCGGGCAGAATGGACAGTAGAGGTTTTCTGTCTTCTCACCCGGGCCTCTCAAAGCTGCAAGAAGCTGATGCACTCATGCCATGCACCACACCAGGGACCTGGATTATCTCCTTCAATAGTTCAACTACCTGAGGCCATAGATCATGTCCTGATAATCTTACAGATAAAGGAATAGAGCTTGTAATCTCTCCAGAAGGTCATATTCCTTCCACAATACCGCTTGGCCCCATTTTGTCCCGCTGCATCACACTGTAGATGTGCCCATTAATCCTGTCATCTTGGGCACTTACATAACTTTTCAAGCCTCTCTTTCCCCATGTAACATTTGGCGGTGTCCGCTCATTGCCAGAGTAAAAGCGATCATTCGTGTAAAGCACGCATCACGGTGCTTATACATAGTAAGTGCTTGTAACAGGCAAGTCTAGTGGCTGTTACAGCATCACTTCTGCTGTTGTGTCCTGTCATCCACTGATTGCCCCCTGAGACTGCAACATTTTGATGATATTCCATAGATCGCCTTAATGTTTGATTTTCTTGTTAAATGATCCATTCATCCCACAAACATTTTGGCGCCCACCTGACCCTGTGCGGAGTCCTGGAGAAGCTGGCTGTCCAGAGGGGGAGACAGAGAGGCAAATGCATAATTGATAAGTTATGTGCTGAATAGCTTATTGACTATTGGGTAGCTAGGGCTGCCATAACAAAATACCACAGACTGAATGGCTTAAACAACAGAAATCTATTGTCTCACAGTTCTGGAGACTGGAAGTCAGACAGAGATCAACGTGTTGGCAGGGCTATTTCTTCAGAGGCCTCTCTCCCCGGTTTGTAGATGGCTGTCTTCTCCCTGTGTCTTCACACGGTCTTCCCTCTCTGTGTGTGTCCATGTCCTCTTCTTATGACTCCAGTCATATTGGATTCAGGCCCAAACTAATGACCTCATTTTTACTTAAATACCTCTTTAAAGATGCTATCTCCAAACACAGCCACATCCTGAGGTACTGGGGGTTAGGACCTCAGTGTATGAATTTTGGAGGGACACCATTCAGCCCACAACACTGATCAACAAGGACCGGCACTGAATAGCTTCCATTTGCCTGCCCAGAGCCACACCCACTCTGTGCCCTTCTTCACCCAGCTCTGCTTCCGCCCCCGGAGGCTGACTTCTAGGACTGCATCCTCCAGCCCCTTGCCCTCTGTTTCACCAATGGGAGGCATCGGCCAGGGACTGGGAAGAAAGAGGAGACAGAAGTCATTCCCACCCCTCCTCCCTATACAATCCAGGACCGTAAAGTCTTAGATCCGCAGGGCGGCCTCTTCACACCCAGCTCTCTCCCCAGGTTCCAGTCTCCTCCCTTCTCTTCAGGCCTAGAGACGGCCAACTGTGCCCCTCTGTACCACCCGTAGGGTCTAGGCCATCCCTTGCGGCTTCCCTACAGTCTGCCCACATCTTTGTAATTAGCGCCCAGGAGTTTGTCTGACAAAAAGATCAAGCGCATCTCCAATAGCAGAAGAGCTTTGGCAAGTGAACCCCCCAGCATGCTGATGAAATCATGAATACTGCAGAGAGCCAGGACCAGAGAGCAGTTAGACGTTGCTTTAAAAGGGGAGGAAAGCAGTAATATATATTCAATCCACAGGACAGGGCCCAGGAAGAGGAAGGGCAGGGAGGGGGGGTCTTCAAGGAAGAGGCAGGAGTGCCCCCTCTCACCTCCATGCTGTTTGTCTCCTGGCCCAGACCCTCCCTCCTTGGAGGCCCACACCTCCACTTCCTTTCAACAGTCAGGCGGGAAGGCGCTTCAGCCCCAGCACACACTCAGCCAGACCGCATGGATGTGCCCCGGGGACCTGCTTGCTCCCTCACCTTCTCTCTCTCACTTTGCGGGCCTGGCGTTGTAACTGTCTGCTTGTCTGAGTCTGTCTAGCTGGGCCTCTTTGAGGCAGCAACCAGGACTCTTATCTCTGCCTCCCCACGCCCAGCCTGGTGCTTGGCCCAGAGCTGGCTCATAGAAAGAATTTTCCAGTTGAACAGCACAGAGAAATAAAACCAAGTTAGAGCAAATGAGGATGCAGTGACCTCAGCCCTCCTTTGCTGCCCTCCTTCCTGGAGGCCTTCCCTGGATACACCCATAGGGAGAAAGCTGTGGTTGAATGGAAGCAATCCTCCAGCCTGTCAGGCCCCTGGTCACTTCCCGTCCTGGCTGTCCTCTGTGCCTCACTGATAGGATAGATCCCTTTTATAAACCTCTGAGCCTCAGCTTGTCTTCTGTGAAATGCGCATCATCATAGCACCCACCACATAGCCTTGTTAACACCTATAGTTAACCAGTGGGTTAACCAGTGTAGTTATTACCAGTGGGTTAATACTTGTAGAGTGCTCAAAACTGTGCCTGGTGTATAGTAATTGCTCAATAAATAGGAATAACAATTTCTGACCATTCCATGCCCAAGAGCAACAGATCACAATGTATTCAATCACACTTACAATTAAATCTCATCTAACAATTTTCAAGGCATTTTCTTTCTTTCTTTCTTCCTTCCTTCCCTTTCTTTCTTTCTTTCTTTTTTCAGGGATTGAACGCAGGCCCTCAGCAGCGAAAATGTGGAGACCTATCCACTGGACAACCAGGGAATTCCCTCAAGGCATTTTCACATGGCTGCCCATTCATTTCTTCAGCAAACAGCAGCCTTGCCCCCAAGGAGAATCCAGTTCAGGCAGAGGAGAGAGAAGCACTTTGTGCCTACCTGCCCTGGGTGGTCTGTATCACCGTGGAAACAGGAGCCAGCTAGGTCTGGCCTTTCAGTTATCAGAATTAAAGTCCAGTGGGAACCACGCTGTGGAGTTTTCCCAGCAGAAGATGAGACCCTTGCAGGCACACATTTCGGGGCTGGGGTAGGCCCCTCTTTTCTTGGGGGAGGCAGAGCCCGCCATCTTTAATGTGTACCTGAAGGTCATGGGGTTCTTGGAAAATGCAGATTCTGACCCAGGAGTTCTGGGGTGAGGCCTGAAACTGCATTTCCAAAAAAACTTCCAGGCTGACGCCAATACTGCTGGTCTGCAGATACAGTAATCGACTCACCCAAGTCTGCCACGGACTTTCCTGGTTTTAGCATTGAAACTTCCACATCCGAGGAAACCACTCAGTCCTGGAAAACCAGAACAGTTGGTTACCGTATCCACAGACCACGCTCTGAATGGCAAGGTCAGAGCAAGACAGGCTCGTGCTGAGTTTGTACTGAGCTTCACAACTCCTCCCTGCAGAGTCCCTGGAATAATCCTCCTGGCCTGATAAAGGACTGTGACTCTTTATAGAAATGACAGGCCAGGTAGATGCTGGTTTTGTGGGGCCCGAAGCTTATGTAATCTCAGTGGCCCTTTTAAGAAAATGGTACAAAGATATCCTTGCTTTGCAAATTTTACCAAACAGAAGACCATGTGAACAGAGTAAACTTCCTCGTCTGGCTTCAGGCCACACAGGTGCTCGGGTCTTCCTTCTGGGAACATGGTGTTTGGGCCCCTCGGTGACCAGCAACTGCCGCTTCTGAGAGATCACCACCAGGTGGCAGTAGATCTACACAGCCCCCTTCAACACCCCAACCCACCCCCTCACCCCACCATCAACTCCAGAAACTTCCAAATCTTTCTCCAGCTGGTCTAGCCAATTAATCCAATGAATATTAATCTATGCTGTGATAATGGGCAAAAGAGGTTCATGTGTGGCTCTCAGCAGCATATTTGCCATTTAATGGAAATGGTAAGATTGTTTTAAAAATCAGATAAAGAATGCTAATAGGTGACTTCCGGGCGTGCTGTTGAAGATGTTTTTAAGCAGGTGGACCTTTCCGTGCTCTACAAATTGCATTTATGCAGGGGTTCTAAGTCTTATCACCTGTTCCCGCCACCCCAATATATAGCTTAGTGTTTAGGCACCAGCTCTGGAGTTCAGCTGCCTGGGTTCAAATTCAGGCACTACCACTTACTGACGGTGATACCGAGTAAGGACCTTAACATCTCTGGGCCTCAGTTTCCCGATCTGGGAAATGGGAGTATAAATACTGATTTCATATAATAGTTGTGGGATAAAACAATGTTTGTAAAGCACCCCAGAAAAATGACTGACATACAGTAAGCACTGATAAGCAGCTCTCAGCATCATCGTCCCACACCTTACCTGCCTGCTTCAAACCAAGTTCTCCTGTGTTTCCTCCAACCTCAACCCCTTACCAGTTGCTTCAGGAGAACAGAGGGAGGGTTGAGACCCCAGCATGGTAATAACCAGGCCAGTTCTTCCGGGCACAGCATTCCCCAGCCCCATGAGCTCCTCGCAAGCTGGGACTGAGCCCTGAGGACACCAAAGCATACAAAGGGGGAGGGGCATTGGCTGGACCAGACTCCAGATAGATAGCCCAGCTCAGCATTTTTGCAGAAGATGAATCTACAAGTATCACGTTGTGGATACCAAGAGCCCAGGACTTGCAGATGAGCATGGTGTGAGGCTGGGTGGCTGAGGCAGTCACCTGACCCAGCCCGACTCCTCCCTGGGTCCTCTACACACTGTTCGACTGGGAGGGACTCATCATGGAGCAGGGGCTTCCTCTTCTGCACTCCTGTTGGACCTGGTAAGCTTTCTTTGCCTTCTTTCCCTACAGCCCCCTCTCTGGCTCCAATCACCTTCAGCCTCATCTACACTAATAGGCGTAATAGTGAGTGTGCGCAAACTTTGCCGCACCTTAGAATCACCCAGGAGCTTGTACGATCTGATTCCCAGGCTCAATCCCGAATCAATGAAACCAGAATCTCTGGGAATGGGACCAAACAACAGAGATGATCCCAGTGGGCAGCAAGTTTGAGAACCAGTGTTTCTCAAGCCTTACTGTGCACAGAAGACAACCGAGGAGTTTTTTAAAATGCACATTCTGGTTCAGTAGGTCTGGAGCAGAGCTGGGAATTCTGTTTCTAACAAGCTCCCGGATGATAGAGATGCTGCTGGTCTGCAGGCCAGACTTTGAGTAGCAAGGTAGTAGAACTGTGGTTCTCAAACGTATCAGAATCATCTGGAAGCCTTGTTCAAATACACCCCAAGTTCGGATTCAGGAGGTCTGGATGGAGGGCGGAGTACAGGTTTTGAAGTCAGGCAGCCCTGGCCCCTTTTCTTACTTCGTACCTTGCTAGCTCTTAGGTAAGTTACTTAACCTTTCTGAATTGTCATTGCATCATCTGTAAAGTGGCCACTATTGGGCAAGATTAACTGGGCTAATATGAAACACCTAACAGACTGCTTAGCGTGCTGGTCCGCAAACTTGAGTGTGAACTTGAATTACCTGAGGCGCTTTCAAAGAAACCAACCTATAACTGCTGATGTACTTGGTGTAGGGTACTGAGCATCAAGAGTTTTTAAACTACTCTGGTAATTCTACTCTGCAGCCAGTACTAGGTACCGACCTAACACCATGGCTCCCAAACGTTAGTGCATATCAGAAGCACAGACTGCTGGGCTGCACCCCCAGAGTTTCTGACTCAGCTTGGGGTGGGGTTGAGAATTGGCATTTCTAACAAGGTCCCGGGTACTGGTGCTATGCTGGCGGCGGGGGGATTTACACTGATCAACAGCTATCAGTAAAGAATGCACAGAGCAGGGATGAGAGGATAATCTTGGGTTGCTGAGGTCCAGACACCAGGTCTGGAGCATCGCCAGCTGTCCAGGTACGTCAATTTACAAGCCCACCTGGGTCTACCTGGGCTAGGGGCAGGGCAGGGTGGGGGCAGAACATTTTTGTGGGGGAGGCAGGAAGAACCTGCATTGTTTATCCAGGAGAAAGGCCACTGAACTCAAACATGGCATGGGGACGGGGGGACTTCCCTGGCGGTCCAGTGGCTAAGACTCCATGCTCCCAATGCAAGGGGCCCAGCTTCGATCCCTGGTCAGGGAACTAGATCCCACGTGCTGCAACTAAGAGTTCACATGCCGCAACTAAAGATCCCTCATGCCACCACGAAGATCCCGCGTGCCGTGACTAAGACCCGGTGCAGCCAAGTAAATGATAAAAAACAAATAAATATTAAAAACAAACAAAAAATCATGGCATCAGAGGAAAAGCAGTGACTTGGCCTGGGTGACTCGGAGCCCAGAAATAAGTTGTGTGGGTTGAAGCCACAAGGAGGCCCACAGCTCAACACCAGGAAGAACTTTTTAACCTTGAAAACCGCCCTGTCTGAAAAGGGCACCAGCCTCCTCCTCTGGCAGTGAGCTCCCTGGCGCGGGAGGTAGTTCACCGAAGCCTGGGAGTAGGGAAAGCGAGAGGGGTTTGAACTGGAAGACGTCTGCGGGCCCTCTGAAGCCTGACCCTACACATCCCCGCAGCTCCAGGCGAGACGTTATTCTGGCAGCTTTCTGTTTATTTAGGAAGGTGACCGGCTGGAGCGCTCGCAACAGACTGGTGTTTCCCTGGCCTGCCAGCAAGCGGTTTACTTACTTTCCCAGGCAAACAGGAAGGCGGGCAGCGCCAGCAGGTGGGCGAGGCTGCGGTGCGGCACAGGGGCCACCTGAGGGGCGCTGCGGGGATGCCTAGCCCCGGGGCCCCGCGGGCACTGCGGGTGGGCCAGGCAGGCGGCCCACGGGCGCGGGGTGCCGGGGGCAGGGGGAGGCGAAGAGGAGGGTCAGCCCACGCGCCGCCACGTCAGAGCACCAAGAGAACACCAAGTCTTTATTACACGAATTCCTATGAAACTGCTCCAAGATAAAACCCACACGCAGGAGAAAAAACAAAAACAAAAAAACTGACAAAGCCACACACACGGACGGGGGTTGGGGGTGGGGGGCGACTGGCGCTCCCCCTCTTCTGTGCCCGGTCATCAGGAGCCCTTGGGGGGCGGTGGGGATTGGAGGGCGGCAGCACTTCCGCACTCGCTCGGGAGGCTGAGCCGGGCCAGGGTCCCCCTCCGGCACCGCGGGGAGCCCGCCACGCCCTCACTATCTCGAGGTGGCTTACGGCCTCCAAGCCCCGCCAGGCTTGGCGCCCGCCCCCAACGCCCCACCGCCGTGCCGCTGGGCTGGCTCCCCGCTCGGGCCCTAGCCCCGTGCCTGCCCGGCTCCCCGGTTCTCCCGAGGTCGGCGCCTTCCCGCCTCCAGCCGGGCCACGGAAGCCCGGCTGCCCCTCCCTCCCTCCCTCCCTCCCTCCCGTTGGCAGTGGTTGGTGCCGGGTCAGGTTCGTAGGACCCTTGTTTTCCTCCTGGCCATTTGCCTTCTCACTCTTGGCAAGGGGCACCCAGCAAGCCCTTCTGCCCCAGAGGCTCTGGCCCGGCTGGCAGCCTCTCCTTCTTGCCCCTCAGTCCTGCACCTTCTCAGGGTTACTAAAGAACTGGCCGCTGCCCACCCTTAATGACAGCAGAACTTCTAGTCCAACTGGGGAGTCAGAGCCCCTGGAGCCCCCACTGTTGTGGGACTACAGGATCCCATCCAGGACTGACTTTTGTCTTCTGTCAGAGTAAACACTACCCCTGCCTAGCTAGAATCCGCCAGCTCCGGGGTGGCCAGCCTCCCCATCCCTGCTGGGGGCCCTTGCCAGCCCCTAACAGAGGCAGCCCGAGGGGCCCAGGCAGGGTACTCAGCAGATACCTCTCTGCAGTGGCCCATCACTCCTCAGAGCGGGCCCGAGTGACTGCCCAGGGCTTTCTCACCCAGAGCTCCGTGCAGGGGAGTGCCAAGGACCAGCACCCCTGGGGAAAGACTGAGATGCAGAAGGCCATGGGAATAAAGGACCCTAGGTGCCCAGAAGGGAGCTGCGGATGGGGGTATGGGATCAGGCAGTGTCTGTGGCCCGACAGGAGAGACCAGGACAAGAGGGGGGCAGGGGCTCCACCTTCAGGCCAACGAGCCTCTGGTAGGATCATCCTCCCCTTCTGGGTACTCCAACCTTTGCCAGTTTTCTGGGTGTTTTTTTTTTTTTTTTTAAGAAGAGGGGTTAGATCCTACATTTCCACTCGTTCCCCACAGAACAGCCTGGCTACGAAAGGGACTGTGGTTGGCTGCCGCCTCCACCCTCAGGCCCTTCCTCCAATCACAGCATGCAACTCGGAAGTTCTAAGTCCCTTGGGAAGTGGCAGTGGCAGTGGCTGGGCTGGACTGTGGCTGGAGAACCACTGGGCCTCAGAACTCAAGCACCATCAGTCCGGCTGCAGCTGGGCTCTTCAGCGGAGGGCCGGTTTGCTCTGTGGCTGCCTCTACCGGGTCAGATGGTCTCCGGCGAGGAGAAACTGCTACATCTGGCAGGAAAAAGGGATGGGAGAAGTCTTTTTCAGTGGAGCCCAGGGGTCTTTCCTCACCACCGGTTCCTGGAGAGATGGTTCTGGGCAGAAGCTTCTAAAGACAGGAGGCTTCTCCTTCCCCCAGGGACTCTATGTCAGCCTTGGAACTCTGCCTGCGGTCACACCCACCAATCCAAGCTCCTAGAAACATTCCAACTTGCAAAACAGCAGGGACTCTGGCAGCTAGAGATGGAGTGGGGCGGGTGGGGTGAAGCAGCTGTCTGAGAGGTGTGCCTGGGTGCCTGGCCTGTTCTGTGATACAGCGGTAGCCCAGCTGAGCTACACCAAGGGCACCTGTAGGGGCAGAAAAGTAAAATGGGATCAGAATTTGGTGGGACCCCCACACCAAGCTGAGGAGCCTTCGCTTGGAAGACCCGTTCAGAGAGCAAGGGAGAAATGGAACTGTAGTGGTGTCCTGGTGATGGGTAAACAGAGCAGGGGCAGTGAAGAGACCAGCAGCTGTTAGCCAGGCGATGAGAGTCTGCCAGGGCAGTGATGCGAGGAATAAGAAGAGAAATGAACTGGGGAAATCGGAAGTGGGACTGTCTAGCTTTCAGTGAGTTGACAGCCAGGGCTAGAAAGACCATCGTGGGCACAGCTGGGGCCGTGGAGTGGATTTGGAGAACTAAGAGGGAGATTCGGATTTGGGAACCAACTGCACAGAAGTATTGCTGATGCCGTAAGAGAGGCTGGCGGCACCGCTAGGGAGAGGGAGTAAGGAGACTTTGAAGAGGGTCAAGCCCAGAGCTACGGGGAGAGCTGGGATTGAGGGAGTGGAAGGAGCCAGGGGAGCCCAAAAGCGCACAGAGAATCAAAGGCAGAGAGAAAGGGGATCCAGGATTCCTGGGGCCACAGGAGCCAAGGGAGGGCAGTTTCAGGGGAGACGACGGGCATGGCGTGCAGAGACAACACCAGAGGATGCAGAACAGGAAAAGGCCCAGGACCTGGCAGGTGATCCTGAGTCAGTCTGGGGGTGGGGGTGGGGGTGCCAGCTGGCAATGGGTGAAGGAGGATGCACGTTTCTGCAAACTGGGTGATGATGGAAAATATTGAGGACTCTTGGTTTTTAAGATGGGACGAGGAGGATGTAGACCTGAGGAAGGAAAGGGAAAAGCTGGAAGATTCAGGAAAGAAAGAAATTATGAGGAAGGTCCTGATAAGGGTGGCTTTGGGCCAGCACGTTTCCCGGGGGACCAGTGGGAAGGAAGTGGTAGCGACACTGCACGGGAGGCGGGGGTCCTCCCCTCGGCTGGCTTTATTTCAGCATTCCGGATACCTGGGAAGCCTGGGTGCAGCAACATGGGTGAGGAGAGCCTGAGAGAACAGAAGAGGTCTGGAAGGGCCTGGTGGAGGGTGGCGGGTCAACTAGAGGTGACGTGAAGGCCAGCCGCCCAGGCTGAGGGGAGAGGGCGCCTGTACTCTTCCTGGCTGTGTCCTCCCCACACTGGTTTCTCCCCTCCACTGCAGTTACCCTGAGGGTAGCAAGTATTTCTCCATAGCCTGAAACAGGGCCATACCTGCCACACCGTGAGCTCAAGAAAGCCCTGTAGGGCTTCCCTGGTGGTGCAGTGGTTGAGAGTCTGCCTGCGGATGCAGGGGACATGGGTTCGTGCCCCAGTCCGGGAAGATCCCACGTGCCGCGGAGCGGCTGGGCCCGTGAGCCATGGCCGCTGAGCCTGCACGTCCGGAGCCTGTGCTCCACAACGGGAGAGGCCACGACAGTGAGAGGCCCGCGTACCGCAAAAAAAAAAAAGCCCTGTAGATAGCTGACCCCTGGGACCAGGACAGCGGCTGGGGGCAGGGTGAGCAGGCAGCTTCCTGATGGGGGAGGGGCTGGAAGAGGGACAGGTTCCCCTGAGCCCTGGAGGAGGTGTTGACACTCCCTGTTTCTTCCCCAGGGATGCACTGGGATAGAGGAGGAAAAGCAGCCTGGAGGCCCATGGCTCCAGCCAGAAACAGAGCTGTCTTGAGAGGGGCCGTTCCCTCATCTTCCCCACCACCAAAACCCGAGGCAATGGCAGAGTTCTGTGTGGACGTGGCCGGGTGAGGCCATCTCAGTTTTTCTTAAATTAGTGTGCTGTGTGTATCCTGGACTCTCTTCTCAACTGTGTTGTAAACTATTCAAGGTCAAAGCTGGTTTTTCTCTTCCTGTTCCTAGCATCTGGCATAGGTGTGATTATCTTCTGTCAAATGAATAAATAACGCAAGACACTAATTCCCCCATGCACACGCCCCCCGCCGTAACAAGGGAAAAAACCCCGGACCTGCGCCATCTAGTTGCCTGAGCCTGATGCCTCTGGACCACGGGGAAGACCGCCCTCTGGGGTGTGGGGCAGGTCAGTCCTGCACCTTACCTCTTACTGTCCTTCCCTTAGTGCTTCCTCCACCTTGGGCACCTCCTGTCGCCTTCCCCTGAAGTCTTCGTCTGAAAAGCAGAGGAAAGCACCTCACCCTCCACCCTGCAGGGCCTCACTCAGACACGTCTCCCAGGCTGGGCAAGACAGCTGAGCCAACTCTCTCCACCCTTGTTTGCCGGGGCACACGCTGATCCCCGGGAGCGATGCGCGGGTCTGGTGAGGGGCAACTGGGCACGGTGCGGGGTTAGGACCCCTGGCTGCTGCTCTGTCTCTATCGATGAGCTCTGAGGCCTTGGACAAGTTCTTCCCTCAGTTTCCTCATCTATAAAATGAGATGGGGAAGTTGGACTGTCCAGATGACCTCCAAGGCCCTTCTAGCCCTTGTTTCTGGATGTCTCCTGACCACCAAAGGGCTCCTCTGCTCTGAGGCCTGAGGATCAGGGTTCAGCTGTGGGCCTTGGAAGGTCTGAGGCAGTGTCTGCTGGCCCACACGCCTTTGGGAGGGACTGAATGAACGCTGAAAGGCCTCTGGGCCCCAGACACTGAAACTGCCCAGAGCGTGGCTCTCAAGGGGAGGCCCTTCCATGTGGGTGGGCCTGTCTGTCCCCTCACACCCCAGAGAATATTCCCCAGAAACAGCACTCGGTGCTTTGTGCTCCAGGCAAAGATTTAGGTGGAGATGTGGCTGGGCCCCTTTTCAGGAGTGGAAGGGAGAGGCGATATGGACCAAGTCACGAGGGGGACCCATTTCCTTGGGTCGCCTGCCCACCAACCCTGATATGTCCCCCAGGTTCGGTGTCCCCTCCTTTACAGTCTGGGTTCACCTGTGAAACACCCAGGCCCTCCTCTTGGAGGACCACCCAACACAGGCAACTCAGAGCCCCGACTTCCCTGCCCTCCCCGCCTCACCACAAGTGTGGCCCTCCACGTCGTCCAGGAGATTGGCTGTTGATGCCGCAGCCCCCAGTCTGCCGGACCATTCAGGAAAACTGTCCCAGGGATGGGTGGGCACTCCCTGTCCCTGGACTTCTACCCCCGCCCCAAGCTCAGGAGGCCTTCACCGCACCAGCCTTATCCCCCCAAACTCCCCAATACCTCCTGCAGGCTCCTTTTCTTGGGGTCATCTGAGCAGCCAGGCGCTGACTCTCTCCCCCAGCTCCCATCTCTGGGGACAGAGAAGGAACTTTCTCCCTGTTCTCCTTTGGCTGCTCAGCTTCTATAATAATATCCTGGGCCCTGTTTGACAAGCATGGATGGAAGTCTGGGTAAAATTGTGGAAAACCATATTTTTACTGGAGGAACTAAGAGTGAGAAGGCAGGGCCAACACGTGAATTGAGGAGGTGGAAAGGTCTGTGGATCAATTCAACTTAAGAAATTAGGGGGGTTTCCCTGGTGGTGCAGTGGTTAAGAATCCGCCTGCCAAAGCAGGGGACACGGGTTCGGGCCCTGGTCCAGGAAGATCCCACATGCCGTGGGGCAACTAAGCCCGTGCGCCATAACTGCTAAGCCTGCGCTCTGGAGCCCGCGAGTCACGACTACTGAAGCCTGTGCGCCTAGAGCCTGTGCTCTGCAACGAGAGAAGCCACCGCAGTGAGAAGCCCGCGCACCGCAACGAAGAGTGGCCCCCGCTCTCCAGAACTAGAGAAAAACCTGCATGCAACAACGCAGCCAAAAACGAATAAAATAAATAAATTTATATTAAAAAAAAAGAAATTAGGAAAAGGTTTGCTTATTTCCATGGAAGGACGAAGTTTTCTCTCAAGACGCAGATTACCCCAAACAAAAAGTTAAAAAGTGGTAGGACAACTTCTGAGCCTACAGGGGCCTACACTGGCCTGTTCCCCATGCCTGGTGATGGGAGTCAACACTGGTGTCAAGAGATAGGTCAGGGCTTCCCTGGTGGCGCAGTGGTTGAGAGTCCGCCTGCCAATGCAGGGGACACAGGTTCGTGCCCTGGTCCGGGAAGATCCCACATGCCGCGGAGCGGCTGGGCCTGTGAGCCATGGCCGCTGAGCCTCCGCATCCGGAGCCTCTGCTCCGCAGCGGGAGAGGCCACAACAGTGAGAGGCCTGCGTACCGCAAAAAAAAAAAAAGAGATAGGGCAGCGCCAGGCTGGCAGCAGGGCCCAGGGTGGGAGAGGGGAGAGTCACGTGGCCCGGTCCCACTCCGGGGGAGGGTGCAGCCTCAGGGAGTCCAGCCCAGGGTTTTCAGCACCCTTAGCACCCACCGCTGCCACCCAGTGCCAGGCTGGAAAGGATACGACTGATGCTTCAACAAGTGTTTCCTCTTTGACTTCCTCATCTTGGTCTTCTCCGAGAAGGCCCTGGCCAGTTCAAACAGCTTCCTCCGGGTGGCTAGGGGCAGAGAGACCTGTGAGCCGGCAGCGAGAGCAGCAGGTAGCTGCCCCCCAGGACGGGGGCAGGTGGGCAGGCTGGTGGGGGAGGGAAGAGGTGACAGCAATCGCAGACCGGGGTCAGGCTGGTGCCCTGGCGGAGTGAGGCTGCCATCCTGGGTCGGCCGGCAGAGGCAGCACAGGCCACCGAGAGCCTGGCCAGGGACCGCAGCCAGCAGCTGAGATCCGGGTATTCCTCCTTCCCCAGCTGTGACAGACGGCTTCACATCTTGGCTTTCTTCCTGCCACCTCCCCTTCTCCCCTCTCCACCTCCAGGACTGGTTCTGGGATTTCCATGACTAATCCGAGATTTTCTCTGAAATGGAGCCTGAAAGGATGGCAGCCTCATTCACGCATGGTTGTGTGTCTGGGGGGTGGGGTAGAGGGGAAGGCGGGACCCGGCTGGCAGGACTTTGTGGGAAGGGGCCACTGAGCCGGTGGACCGCCCACCCACAGAACGTGGACTTAGCTTGGGCCTCCCCACTCAGGCCCAGCCTGGCCAAGCCCCCTCAAGCCACAGAGAATGTGAACTCTAAAACGGCGGGGGGCAGGGGGGCGCGGTGTCCAGCACATTATTATTTTTCTGCAGACAGATGGCCCAAGAGGATTTAAAACTTAATTTGTATCCAGACTCAGTTGCACAGGGAAGTACGGCAGGAAAGCTGAGGGAGCCAGCCCGTGATTAAAATGTCACTTTGGTTCACCAAGAGTCAGCTGCATTAAAATTCCGGGTGGCTCCCTCCCTCCCAGGAGGCCACAGGCCTGTCTTAGAAGAGCCGGGGAGGGGGCGTACGCTGGACTCACATTTTCCCATGTGTTTCAACTTGTCCCTGAATAAGGCATCTTCAGATGCAGCGGGGTTGTTGTCGCTGGTTCCTGGAAGGGGGAAGACACCTCTGAGGGCCAGTGGCTGCCCAAGGCCCGGGGAGGGGGGTCAGGGCTGTCCCCACAGGAAAGGGGCTCAGCCCCACCCTTCCACTTGAGGAAGGGAGCAAAGAGCAGGCTTCTGCCCTAACCAGGAGGGAGCTTATAGCAAGGAGGACACCGGGGTTCAAGGAGCATTTCTTTCCCCACCCAAGCCTCACTCTCCCCTTTTCTGTAAAAAGGGTCGGTGGTCTGGTCTGTATGTGTGGAGGGCCAGCTCCCGCAGGCTCCCAACTGTCCGTTCCTCTGACCACTCTGCATTCCGTGAAGGCCCTTTGGTAGCTTGAAATCAGCCACGATGGGAGTGTTTACACCATGGAAGCTACCAGATGCTAAGCACTGGGGCTTCCCCTGCACCCCGACAGGCTGTGACACATTCACCAGCACGTGGCCAGCCTGCCTGCGTCCTGACGTGGGGCGCCGAGTCTCCCCATTCACTCGGCTCCCACTTGGGTCCCGCTCTGCCCTTCTAAGCTCCCACGCTAATCCCGAGTCACCTTGCCTGCTAAGTCCCTGTGAGTCATCCTGATCCACCTCAGCGGTCCCGGTGTCTATGGTTAATTTGGGATCAAGGACAAGAGGCTGCTGTTAAACCCCCAGATGCGTATCTGGTGGGACCTAAGCTCCCAGCCTGTCGCTTATGAATCAGTTCGACAGGATTTTCCCTCTTCAAGCTGGGGTCAGCTGAGCTCCCCATCCTTCTGCCCCCCTCCCCCATTCCACCATGCGATGTAAGCTCTGTTTCGGGCAAGAGCTGCGGATTCTTCCTCTGAGGCGGGCAGCCTGTGTGTGTGTGTGTGTGGTGGGCACTGGCTCACCAGGGGCCACTGTGCACACGCACAGGCAGAGTCCAGATGTAGAGGATGGAACCGGGACCTTCAGGGTGTCCCCAGCTCCAGCCTGACCCTCGTCCGTGCAGCCCAGCAGCCTGCTGTCCACCCCTGGCCCTCCTTCAGCCACTGAGGCAATTCTTGCTTCTCACCACCTTGGACGTGAAGCTTCCAGTTCTATTCCTCCAACACTAAGGCAGAGCCTGGCCTGTGGCAGATACTCCCCAGGTACTGAATGAATGAATGAATGAATGAACTCTTCCCAGATTGACCCTGCCCTTCCGCGCCGACATGTTTTTGCCGTAATTAACAAGCGTGTCTTCAGCCTTGCTGCGTCATTCTGCCTGTTTCTTGGACGCATCTCCAGTGTTTGTTCCCAGTAAAACCATAAGCTCCCCCCGGGCAGTGACCCAGTCTCTGAGTCCCTGGCCACCCCAAGCCTGACACCCCGTGGGACGTTACGTGGTGTGGTGTGTCCCCTTCTTGCCCGTGCTCCAGGCACCTCCAAGGAGTTCAGCCAGTCCGTTGGCCAATCCCGGGTGTGGGTTGCAGCAGCCGCTGGGTTGGTAAGAACCCCGGGCTGCTGAGTGGAGGGGCCATCTCCCTCTCGGCGAGCATGGAGAAGAGGGAGAAACCTCCCCACCAGCCTGTCTCCTCAGCCTACCCCCAAACTCCAAATACGCAAACCACAGCTGGGGTGTGAGCCCCCTACACCCTCCAGGCCTCTCTCTTAGGAAGGCAAGGTTACCTGGGACAGGAGCGGGAAAGTCAAAGTCATTTCCCACAGCTACGCTGCTGGATGTAGATTTCTGGGACTCGTATTTCAATCGATCTGGAAAAGGACCACATTCTGGTCGGGGAAGTTAGCTCCCACCCAGGGGCAGCCTGCGCTGAGATGCAGGAGGTTGTTAGAGGCCAAACCCCCAGAAGCACACACACACACATGCACACACGAAATATGTGCACACACGACGCCTACGGGCTCTCAAAGAACCAGAACTCTCAAAGATACAGAAACGACTGCCCTGACAACCTGCAGTGTCAGAATGTCAAAATGAGAAGGACCCTGGGAAGTCAGACAGTCCAGCCCTTCATTTAAAAGGAAAGACCCTGGGCTTCCCTGGTGGCGCAGTGGTTAAGAGTCCGCCTGCTGATGCAGGGGACACGGGTTCGTGCCCCGGTCCGGGAGGATCCCACATGCCGTGGAGCGGCTGGGCCCGTGAGCCATGGCCGCTGAGCCTGCGCGTCCGGAGCCTGTGCTCCGCAACGGGAGAGGCCACAGCAGTGAGAGGCCCGCGTACCGCAAAAAAAAAAGGAAAGACCCCGAGACCCCCAGCACCTTTAATGCAGAGCTGGGACCAGCCTTGGGCCTCCTCTGTCTCAGGCCAGGCTTCTCCCTGCACACCGTGCTCCCTCCCCCAAAACACAGTCAGACACACACACGCGCACACACCCACACCTCTCTCCCACAGGACCCTCGCTGCACCCCCATCAAACACTCCCACCCTGAAGGGGGAAGGCAGCCAGGCTGGGGGCAGTAGAGTGCTGGGCCCAAGGACAACTCAAACGCCCAAAAAATTCAAGAGCCCCTGCTCTAATGTCCTCTGCTCAGGGAGGCACCCACGGACCCAATCACTCTATTCCTGGAGCTCCAGACATATGGTGCCGAAGCCAGTGCCTGGCACAGAGCAGACAGGCAGGGGAGCAAGGGAAGGGCACCCCTCTCTCTCTCTGAGTTCCAGAGGAGGGAAGCGGTGGCTGGTGACTCAGGTCCCTGTTGGCAGACTTCTGGGGCTCCCACCAGAATAACTCAACAGCACAGAGGCCACCCCGAGCTCCAAGGCTAAAGCCAGCATCAGCCCCTCCTTAGCCATGGAGCGGCGGCCGCAGCGCCCCACCCGGGGCACCACCTCTCTCCAGGGCAAGGAGGAAGTCGCGGTTGCGCTGCAGCTCCTTCATGAACTCCTCGTTCTGCAGGAAGAGCGCGATCCTCTCGTCCTCCAGGTATTGCTTCCAGCGGTTCTCCTGGTCCCGGGGTCCGGGCCCGGCCGTGAGGGGCCGGCCTCCCTCTGTGATCACAGGCTTGGAGCCCCCGGAGGTAGCCTGAGGAGGGGAGCGAGCATGTGGACCGCCTACTCACAAGGACGCACGCTGCACAGATATCCACGCGCACCCGGGGGTACACGTGTCCTTCCCAGGATGCTGTGGCCGCACCCTGCGGCCAGCACCTCCTATCTAACTTCACAGGCCAGAGCCCTCTCTGCTGAGGAAGCAGCAAGGGCTTAAAAACTACTCCCCACCTCCTCCACCTTGGACGCCCCCCCACACCTTCCTTCATCAAAACCTGAATAGTCCGGAAGAGTGATCTGCGAACTGCTCAGGGTCCCCAAACTCAAAGCTCTCCCTGTCTAAGCTGTCTCAGGGGAGACCCCTTGCAGAGGGCCAGCCTCTGGGGAGAAGCACCCTGGCCCTCTCCCAGGGGAGGGAAGGGAGGTACTCTGGTCCTCTGCCGTTGACAGCTCCCCACCCCCTGCCCCTGCCCACCTCCCTCCAGCCTGGGGTGATGGCCGCAGCCAGGGAGTGTCCCCAGGGCTGTCACCTTCCTGGGCGGAAGAGGAAACCTCCAGGCCCAGACAGGAAATGAGGCTTTTGCTTCAGTGTTCTTTCCCTACAAACCCAGGGCAACAGAAACAGCTCAGCCTGGGCTTAAACAGCAGGGAGTGACACTGGCTGGCATGAACGGCGTGGGCAAGCAGAGCTGCTGCACAGGCCAGGGGCGGGGGAATCCTCGTTACCTGTATGCTGTCCAGCTGCTGGGGCAGGATGCGGAGAAAGTCTTCGGGGAGGTTGCCTAGCAGTGGGGGGTTCCAGTTCCGATAGCGCCTCTGGCCGGAAGGGGGCGCGGAGCCCAGCACGTCGATGCTGCGGGGTGAGAGGTGACGAGGAGGAGGGAAGAGTCAGCCCAAACACAGGTGTCCTGGCCCATCACACCAAGATCCTGCTCAGACTGGCACTGCTGCTCCAGAGCCTCCCGTGGCCTCCGCTGCCTCTGGCACAAAGGCCCAGCACGCTAGCTCCCCTTCTCAACCAGGCTTCGGCTGACCCCCAGCCTCTGGGCCTGGGCTCCGCTGCCCTGGATGTTCCACTACTCAGCGCCTTCAAGGCCTCTGGGCCTAGAGAGCTCTGTGTTGCCGGCGCACATACTGCGTGTTGTGGATTTTGACACGGATGTGGCAGTCATGGCCCTTCACGCTTCTATCCCTAGCACCTAGCGTGACGCGAGCTCCTCCTGGCTGCTGAGTGCCAGGCGTGCTCCGAGTGAACAGACACAGAGCTGCCGGCAGCCCAGCCCGCCCCAGTGTGGGTTTGCTAGGGTCGGGGGACATGAGGACAGCAGGATCCCTAGAGGGTAAGTGGATCTAGGCTCCAGTTCTGGCACAGCCACAAGCCAGCCACGTGGTCCTGGGTGAGACTCTGTCCCCTCTGGGGCTCAGTCTCCTACAAGCTGCTGTCTCCCTGCCCAGGTGCGTGGGAGCCCCTCGGGAGGCTGTCTCGAACAACTTGCTGAAAAGGCACATGGAGGTGTGGGATTGGAAGGGTCCTTGTTCCAAGTGGCGCGGGGAACCGCTCCCCTGGGCCAAGGCGGAGGCCAACAGCGAGGCGGAGAGGAGCGGAAGGAGACCCTGGCACGTGGCCTCTCTGACCCCCAGCCTCCCGCCCTGCTGTCCTGGCCTGAGGGCGGCCTGGGGCCTGGCCAGGAGCTCCCCACAGCTCCTCGGCAGCCTGCAGCGTGGCAACCGCAGGACACGTGTTCTGCTGAATCAGGGAAATGACACACAGAGAAGGCAGCCGAGGGCCGGGAGCCACTCTCTCTCGGGCCTGGCTCTGATTTGGTCTCAAGCTCCAGGAATCCCGCCCGCCCCCTCACTGGAGGGGAGCTTTTCCGGGCTGCCCCTGACTATGGAAATAACTTCCTTTCTTTTTCTATTTTGGGCGGGTGGCCTGGCGGGCCCAGGGGGAAGGGCGGGGGCGGCAGCAGACAGGATAACAAGCCGCTAAATGCCTGGTGGGAGCTCAGCACTCAGACAGGAGCCAAGGAACCCCGGGCACCCTCTCGCTGTACAGATGCGGGAATGGTCCAGAGAAGAGCCTGCCTTACGGCCCGGGACTCCCATTCCTGGGCGCCTTTCCTTCTCCGTCACTCATCCACCTCCTATCACTGTTGGCGGCTTCATTTTTCTCCAAGGGCCAGAGGGTCAAGGGGGTGGATACCCCATCCCTCTGGGACTCGAGGACCTTCTTTGGTCGACCCCGGCACCCTTCCTCCAGCTTCAGGGTCTTCATCTGGGACATGGGTGCCCACCGCAACTCAATCACACCCACAGCTATCCAGGAAAGCCGTGGAGAGAGAGCCCTGGAGTTGCAGCTGGACCCCTCTAGCCATTTGTTACTGAGAACCCAAGTCGGGAGGGGGGACGAGGAGTAGAAGGCTGAGTGTCCCTCGCTGCTGGGCCCGCGGTCCTGGAGGAGGGGCAGGCCCAGCCCCCTGCCCTGGCACCGGCTGAGATGAGGTCAGCCCACAGCTGTGAGAGCCAGGGGGACGCTGAGCACGGGCGGCCCAGGCAACTCCACTGTGGTCAGAAAGGAATGTCAGAAATGAGCTGAGAGGCAAATAAAAAACTTCCAAGGCTGTAATTTCAACGGAAGAACAGCAGGTGGCCTGTGAGGAGGGGTGCCTCTGGGCTTCAGAGCCTGTCATTCATTCAGGAAAGGACAGGCTGGGCGAGGGGAAGGAGAGAGAAGGCTGGGGGGGGGCTCTCTGGACCCCAGAACTAGAACTGCATGCCCCATAAGACCCCCAGGCCTACCCAAAGTATATCAGAGCCCAGAAGGATTTCAGCAACAAGCCTTCCAGGCAAGAGTTTTGGTAAAGACTAGACACTGAGGCCCTGATGGGGTCAGCCCTGTCCTGGAACACACAGATCGTCCTGCTAAAACCTGGGCCCAGGAATCCTGGCATTCCAGGCACGCTCCCCTGGGATCAGCCTGCCTCTCTGTGCCCCAGCAGGGCCAGCTCCCAAACCCTCTTCATCTTCACTCTCAAAGGCACCCCAGAGACTGGAGGTGGCAGAAGGGAGCCAGGCCATTCCTGCCCCCAACCCCCCCACTCAAATCTGATTGGCCCCAGCAGCCAGAGAGAGATTCCTAAAACACTAACCTCACCCCGTCACTCTCCAGCTTAAACCCCTGGCTGGAGGATAAGGTCAAAGCTCCTTGGAGGACCCCCAAGGGCTTCCACGATCTTCTCACCCCTCCAGCCTCACCCAGACATTCCATACTCCCTGGAGTTCCCTCAGATGGTGCCCCCTTTCCTGCCTCCAGGCCCTTGCACGTGGTTTCCTCTGCCTGGAACGCCCTACTGTCCTCCGCTTTACCAGCTAACTGCTGGGACATCAGTTCCTCTAGGCTGCCTTCCCTGTACCCTGCCGCGCGTCTCTGCCTCCCCCCAGACCCTGATCTCCTTGGGAGGTCAAGGCGGGGCTGTATTCATCTCTGTATCAGGTGACTCCATAATGCTGGAAATGCACGTCCTGGATGGAGAGACGGAATGAGGCCCTGGAAATGGGCTGGGGGTGGATCTGGGCCTAGCAGGGCCAACCCGGGGCAAAGGGGCACGTGCTCAGAGGTTGGCCCTGCCTCTTCGGAGCGCTGGCCTCTGAGGGCAGCCTTACCCCTGGTCTCACTGTTCACTGTCAGAGCTGACCTCAGAGGCCCACTGTGCAGCCAGGGGCAGGAGGGAGCAGTAAAGCACTGGTGACAGGTCTGGTTCATACCCGGCACTGTGCTAAGGGCCCCCCCCACAATGCCTCATTCAACCCTCACAGGAGTGCTGAGGCGGGGATTAGTATTCCCATTTCACAGATGAGGCAAATGAAGCTCAGAGAAGTTAAGCAGTAGCCCAAGGCACCTCAAGAGTCACAGTTAGGCAGCTAAAGGAGGCAGGGTGGGGGGAACACTCGGCCTCTGTCCGACTTCACAACTAAGTTCTCTTCCCTGGATCCACCCCCAGGCCAGCAAAGCCTTCAATTCCGGGTCAGGCCCCTGAACCTGAGGCAAGGGCAGTAACTTGTCCAAAGGTATGAGCAAGACCTCCTGAGCCTTGATCTAGGGCTGAGGTCATTTTGCCCCCAACTGGGGCTCCCATCACTGGGCTACACTACCCCTGCCCTAGTTCACCCCACCATGCACAGAGGAGGGGAGGGAGGATGCGGCCAGGATATCCATGCCAGGTTTACAATGGGATTCTGTCTCTTATGGGCTCAGTCTTACCTTCTGAAAAATAGGTAGAACTATTCTGCCTAATAGAAACTGAATTTTTTGCAAAAGCACCTTGGGATATTAAAAAAATGTCAAAGGAAAATCATTTAGCCCTGGGCATCATGACCCATCCTGGGCTGCAAGTCCTGCCAAGATCTCACCCAGACCTATCCACTTAGCCCCTGCTTTGCCCCGTTACAGCCTCTGGTATCACTTGTGATGGAGGACCTCAGCTCTGCTCCCGTCCCTGAGTCGAAACAATGCTTCCTCCTCCCCCCATAACTTTCTAGGCCTCTATCAGCTCCCTGAGCTGCAATCACAGAGGTTTTTCTCATTAGGGGGATGACAGGACACAGCAGGGAAGAGCATTTGTTGGCTTTGGAGTCAGAAATGACCTGGGTTCAAATCCCAGCTCTGTAGTCTTAGGGAAGTTATGAAACCTCTCTGAGGCTCAGTTTCCTCATCTGTAAAATGAGGATGGCAACAGTGCCTACCTCACAAATTGTCAGATGGTTTGAATGCGATGGCGTAGGTAAAGAACCTTGTCAGTTTCAGGCATTTGAAGGGCACTTAGTAAATGGTAGGTGTTATTATTATCTATACCTGTATGATCACAGAGTTCTCCACCACCACTGTCTGGGGCTCCCAAGATCCCCAGAAGGGAAGATCCACTGGAACAAGTTCCCTGTCCTATCGTGTCCCCACACCCCTCCCCACCCCAGGCCTGAGTTATTCTCAGGACCAGCAGCTCCAGGACAAAGAGGCACCTGGGCTCCAACGGCCCTCTTCAAACACAGAGCCCAGAAAAACAAGCACTTCAGAGACCCAGGGACCCAGCTGGCAACCAGCTTCATTTTAAACTTCCAAATTACAGAGTCCCTGATCTGGATGAAGTCTCCAGGGACCTAACTCTTCTGCTTCCAATTATCGAATTACCCCAGAAAAAGAGACTTACTTGCTCCCATTGCTTAAAAAATCCCCACAACGTCCCTAGAACAGGGATAGCAAATAGATATCCATTCCATCCATTACTGATGACTGTCTGGGAGTGCTGTTTTGAGGAGGATTCTCAGGTTCTGTCTCAACTTAGCAGGAAAGAACACAGTGATCAGTTAGTAATGTTTGCCATGGGCTCAGGAGGGGAAGTGTCAGTACACATTCCATGAGTCTGTCATCCCCAATCTGCATCTCCCTTGACTATAAGCTTCCAGAAAGCAAAGGCTGAGCATCGTTTATCTCTATGTTCTGTCCAGTGTTCAGCATAGCATCTAGTCTGGAGTAGGAATTCAGTGGATGTCTGCTCTTGCAATCCTTACAGTTTGAAAGTCCTCTTTGGTATCCAGCTAAAATGCCTCTTGCTGCAGTAGAAGCCTGTTCCTGGTGGGACAGTATACCGAAGGGTCCAGTCAAGTTTCCCACTGTGTTTGTACTCAATCCCAAACCCTGATCCCCTTCCCCATTGCCTTGCGTTCTGAGAGGAGATGGATTCTTACCGGGGAGGTGGAGTTGGGGGAGCCAGAGGGTAAGGCCTGTCGAACATGTGCATGTGGTAGGCTGGAGGGGAGTACACAGGCGGGGGTTCCTCGTCAGAGCTATCAGGTTCCAAGGTCCTTTCCAAAATCTGTATCAGAGACGACAAAGAAAGAAATATTAACAATCCTTCCTTGAATTTAAATAACATTTAGACAAAATCAAGTGTGGGCGAGGATGTGTAGTAAGGGAACTCTGCTGCTGCTAGTGGGAGTGTAAAGTGATATAACCAGCACTCTGCAAAACCGTTTGGCTTCCTGTACTAACGCTCAGCACATGGGCTACTTCTGAGCCCACGATTCCAACATACACAGCAGACGTGAAAGCACTTCTCCCCAGAGGGAAGCTCCATGCAGCATTAGCCATCCAAGTAAGGTTCAAAACCAGGCAAAACATGGGGCTTCCCTGGTGGCACCGTGGTAAGGACTCCGCGCTCCCAATGCAGGGGGCCTGGGTTTGATCTAGATCCCACATGCATGCCACAACTAAGAGCTCGCAGGCAACAACTAAGGAGCCGGCGAGCCGCAACTAAGGAGCCAGTGAGCCGCAACTAAGGAGCCCGCCTGTCGTGACTAAGACCCAGCGCAACCAAATAAATAAATAAACACGTGGGGGTAAAAAACAGGCAAAACAAATTTACAGGGAGTGCAGTTGGAGCAGTGTGACCTCTGGGGGTGGGGAAGGCTGAGAAGGGGCACAAGGGGGATTCCAGGCTCTGTTGATGTTTCTTGATCCAAGTGCTGATGAAACTTCACCGAGCTGCATATTTGTGGCTCGTGGACTCTTCCGTCCCTGTGTTACTTTTGGTAGATAACTTTAACATCATTCCTACACTCTCTCGAAGTACTTCCACATCGATTATGTCACCTGAAGCTCAAACAACTGGGCAAAGTAGGCTGTGGATCATTACCCCCATTTTACAGATGAGGACACTGAGGCCCAGGCTGACCGATTAACATGGCAAGAGCCACACACTGTTTCTACAACTGAGTCTTTAACTTAGATGTGGTCTCTACAGCAAGAGTGCCTCCTTCAGACACAAGGCCTGCACACCCAGGTTGGATTCTCAGGGAGATAGCAGCAAAGGGAGAGCCCAGGCTCTTTCTTGGCCTCCTCTCCTCATCCAGGAGCCAGAGAAAGGGGCAGGAGAAGCCAAGGCTGGGCAAGGGCCAGGCTTCCTGCCATATGGACTGACCTGAACCCTTCTGCAAAGGAGTCTGGAGCAGGAGGGAGCCATCAACCTGGAGAGCCCAGGTCACACAACCCTACCCCCGCGTCCTCCTCTCCAGCTCTGTGCCCATCTCCTCCAAGACCAAAGAATGTGGGAAGGGCTCAGAGGCTGTCAACTGGCCCAAAATTTGAACCCCAAGTGAATTTGCAGAAATCACTGCTAAGATGCCTCTGCACATCTCTGCCCGAGCCCAGCCATGCCCAGGCACCCAGTCTCAAAGGGACACCACGGCGGGTGGGCAGGTGGGTGAGTGAGCGCGCACGTGCGCGCACGCACACACACACACACTGCCACGCTTTGTACACGTACAGCCAGCCTGACCCAAGGAGGCCTCCTGCTCTGGAATGCACTAACGTTCTTTCCTTTGAGGCAGAAAGTACTTAAACAGATGCTTTTGCAGAGAAAGAAGAATGCAGCTGCTTTTCGGGGCACTGCTCTCCTTACCCCAAATTTCCACAAGAAAAAGAGAGAGAGAACACTGTCAACTCCAGCCCTGCTCACTGACACACACTTGCACAACCTCCAGTGCCCGGCACACAAGTGCTCTAAGGGACAGGGTTCCACGCTGGGGCCTGTAGGCCGAGCCCCTCCCACTCAGTGGCTGGCTTGGACTGTCCCCCCCGAAGCCGGTGAGACGGGCGAGGAGGAGGGGAAGCCTCAGTAGGAGTTGCTCCCAGAAGGAAGCCGCTTGGGGTTCCTCTGACTGGGGCCCATAGCAGCCGCCCCTCGGGCTCAGAGAGATCGGGCCTCCACAGCCGCGCAGGGGGGCTTCCTCCCCTCTCAGCCGCTCCTGCCTCAGCGCGGCCTCCTGGGGCTACAAGAGCCACACGCTCATCAGAGGCTCCTGGAGCAGAATGAGGAAACACCAAGGAGGCAGACAGCAGGCCAGGCACGCTCCGGAAAGGCTGATCCCCAGTCTCCAGGGAGAAGAAACCCCAGCCATGTCTCTGGACTCCGCCCCCCCACCCCGCCCCGCCCCGCCCCCGCCCCTCCCCCCTCCCAACCGCCCCTCCCCCTCCCCCTCCCCCACCAGCCACAGTGAGGCTGTTCTTCTGGCTCTAAAGGTGCTGAAGTTTTTGGTCCTGTGGCTTCCTGGCTTAACTCCATGTGGGTGATGGATGCCTGCCAGGTGCTCTGGGGGCCAAGGTCTGGGCCATTTATCTGACAGGAGATATTTCTCTGTGGCAAGGATACCCCTCGGGCCAGCCCACCATCCATCAGCCCCCAGAGAGGGGGCTTTTTCAGTCAGCAGTTATTGTCATCCCAGCTGCTGCTCATAAATTTTCCGCAGCACTTTCCGCTGGCTCAGGAACCGCCTGCCGATGGGCCCACGCAGAGCTCCAAAGATGGGGGGTTGGGGAAACAGCCAAGGAGGGGTGCTGAGAAGGGGCTCAATCCGGAAAGCAAGATTCTTGGGAAAACAGAAGCGCACACAGTGCAGGCCCATCTAGGGCATCAGGCAAGCTTTGCGGAGGGTCACAGGGCTGTGGGTGCCATGAACAGAGAAGGAAATATGATCCTACCTGCCTGACTGTCAGAACAAATGAGACTGTGGAAGGGGGTCAGCGTTTGCAGAGAACTTTCCTTCCAGCTCACACTTAAAGGATGTACCTGCACACACATACACACACCTCACTTTCACAAAGAAGATCTGGTTTTTCCAAAACTCCCTCCACTGGCTAATCCAGGCAGAGCCAAGGAGTGCTCTCCCGGGCAAAGAGACTAAAGAAAGCTGCGCAAAGACAGCAGCAACATTCATTCATTCAACAAACACTCCCCAAGTGCCTGCTATGTGCAGTGACTCCCGGGTGCTGCGCGTGACACAGGGATGAGCCAGATGCCGTTGCCCACAGGGCTTCTCCTCCACCCGGAGAGAGAACTCCCAGGCAGCAGCCCTATAGGAGGAAGAGCAAGCGGGCTTTGCCCTACAGGATGACTGATGAAGGGAGAAGAGCCACCTGCAGGGCTGTGTTGAGAAGGACTCTGAGGCCACATCTGGGTCTAGGTTTCCCACTGTAAACGGGAGTAATAATAACGCCACTTCACAAAGTTTATGAGATTCGAAGAGATGATACACCTAAAGCATGTAGGATGGTGCCTGGCCCAGGCTGGGACTCAGTGAAGAGCAGAGCTGAATCCGGTCTGCTGGGTCCTTCCATCCTATCCATGGCTGCATGTCCCATATGCCCCTGTGGGCAGTGACCCTCTCGTTGAAAGACTCTGAGTGCCCCTTCTTCACCCAGCACTGCACGTCCTGCTGAGAATAGGGGCTCAGACATCTACTGAGCTCTTGGAGGGGCCGAGGAGGCCTGGTCACACCCAGCAAGTGGGCCTTGATGCAGTGGGGTGGTCCCTTTGCCCTCAGCCACCTTCCTGGAGAGAGGAGGGAACTGCTTGGGTATCGCTCGCGCCTCGGTCAGAGGAACTGAACTTGCAAGCTCTCCTCCACGGGTCCCTACGCTCCAGAACACACCACACTCCTTCTCAACCGCAAGGCCTCCTGGTCTCTGCGCACTCTAGGATCCTCACAGAAGGTCCTGCTGCCAGTTCCCTAACATTCCTGCTCTATTTCACCTCCGAGCCTTTGCACAAGCTGTCCCCTCTGCCCACACACCTTTCCCTCACTCTTCACTCTTCCTCTGGGAAGCCATCCCCTCCTCTCTGTTGCTTCCATTTCTCCCATCCTAGCACTCACCCCTCCGGGCTGCCATTGCCTGACACCTGCCTCTAGTCCTCGCTGGACTGTGAACTCTGTGGGGACAGAAACTCTGACTTGGCCTTAGCGGGTACCTGGAGGTTCAGAAAATACAGACCAGACAGCTCCAGCCCGGAAGTGGGGTTCGGGACGTTGGGGTGGGGGCTAGGTGTCTACATTTTGAACAGGCTCCTTCATTCTGATGACCCCTGACCCAGGGTCTCGTACCGTGCCTGGCACAGCCCCGGAGTAGTGCTCAGTGTTTGTTGAGTGACCGCATGAATTTTGCCCATAAAATAAGGCCACGGGCTGACTTGGGTACGTTTCCCTGGGAGAAATAAGGCTGCTTGCTAGGTAGAACCCAGACAGGAGTATAACCCAAGTCCTCTAACAGGTTCAAACAGTTGTTGGAGCTCCTGGGAATTATCGGGGCCGTGCCCCTACCTCCGGGGGGATGCTGTCCTCCGAGTCCGAGCTGTCCTCGTAGACGCTGCCGCCACCCGCCTCCAGGTTCATCTGCAGCAGCTGGTCGATGGTGGCGTCCACGGCGCCGCTGTTGGCACGCAGCACGCACTCGATGATGTCGTAATCCATGTTGGGGAACATGGTCTTGAAGTCGTCCATGGCCTGGTTGAACTCGAGGCGGCGCACCTGGCGGGCGGGCCGGCTGTTGTTGAGCTCCTGCGAGGCGGCCGCGCTGCCCCCAGCCCCGCGCGCCGTCGCCGAGCCGCCGCCCCCGCCGCCGCCCCCGCCGCTCCGGCGGAACAGGCTGGTCATCTTGCCGAGCCGCTGGGGGAAAATGTTTCCCGCCGGCGCCGAGCCCCTTCCCCCGGGTCCCTGCGCCGTCGCCGCTCGCTCGGCGGCTTCTGGAAGCTCAGTCCCGCGACGGGCGGGGTCCCCGGGTCAGGAGACAAGGGCGCGGCATCCGGGCCTGGGCCGTGCGGGGCTGGGCGGCTGGTCATCCACACCCCGGGAGCATCCTGGGTCCGGCTCCACGGACCATCCCACCTGAAACCGAGGGAGACAAGAGTCAGGGGCAGAATGCAACGAACTCGGCGACCCCCGCCAAGCCCACGGGAGAACAGCTTCTTTCTGCTTTCTCTCCAGCTGCAGTAAACAGCCACAGCTCTTTACCAGTTAGCAAGGGCTTACATCCTGACACCACTATGAGGTAGGTGCTATTATCCCCCTTACGCAGAGGCACAGACCTGAGAAAGTGGAGGAGGCGGGGATTTGAACCCAGCACTATGGCCCCTGAGCCACTGGTCTCAACCACTACATACACTGCCAAGGACTCCTGGAGACTTGACTGGGGCAGGAGGGGCTCTGTATAGGCAATGTCCTCCCCCTCTGGTCTCCAGCCCATCCAGTCTCTGCTTTCCTTAGCTCCCTCACCTCAGGGCCCCACCATCATGGCATCCACTTGTGCAGAGCTCCAGTAAATCTGCAACAGAACGCAGTGCAGCCCACTCAGAACCAGGCCTGTAAATCACTTCCAAGGTAGCACTTCTGCTAGTGCAGGTAACTGAGAGTTGAATGTGTCCAAAAACTTCAAGTTCTGACTTTCTCATGCTTATCCCAGGATGTACGGTAATTTTGCTAAGTGTAGAAAAGTGGCAGCTTTATTTTAAGGGACTGTTCCAGCAAAGCATATTCTTAAGTCCTTTTCTAGTACTGGGGGTCATCATCTTAACAGATGATAGAGAAGAGCTGGTGTGAGCCAATCAGCACGATCTTCCTTGCCATGATCTCCACAGTTAACTGATGATGAAAGGAAGACCAGAGCAGACCAGACCGTGTGGAAGGTGCAGTGGAAGCGCCCTCCCTCACCCTGAGGCCAGAAGACACATCACTACCACTGATTCCTTCTGTCCCTAAAGGTTAGTCCCCTCACAGGTAAAAATGGGGCTTCCTACTGTCCCCCAGTGCCTTCCAGTGCCACCATGCTGAGATTCTTATCCCTTCAAACCTCCACCTCCTTCGAGGGATGTGGAAATTGTCCGGGGCTTATGTTCTGGGGCTTGCTGGGTGGGTGTCTGCCTAGTCCCAGGGAGGCGGGCTGTGTTCAAGAGCAGGAAACTAGAAGCACATGGGCCCCATGCAGCCTCCGGACACTGATGTTACAGAACTATAATCCCCTCCCACCGCCAGAGAAAACCTCTTAACACTGGAATATCTACATGCAGATACATTTTTCTATGCACATACTGCCATAAGTATGAATTCATTTTACTGAAATGTGATCAGACCATAAATTCTACTATGCAACTTCCTTTTTTCCACTTAATGACTGATTGTAGCCATCTTCTCATGTCAGAACATAGAGATCTCCTTCATGGTCTTTAATGCCTGAGTAGTATTCTGATGACTGGGTGAAGTATGACTTATTATCCAACCTCCTCCACCCCATTGCTTCCCAGACGAGCGAGTCACAGCTCAGAGAGGCCAAAGCCAGTGCACAAGGAAGCCCAGAGGAGTGACCTCAAAGGATCTGTCCAAGAAATGTGTTACGAGGATGATCACGGGAGGGGAGTCAAGTGTGACGTGGCCTCCCACAGCTGGCTTTGGACACCCCAACTCCCCTCACCCACACCTTCCACCCGCCCTGACACACTGTAAGGTCAGAGGATGCTGCCAAAACACCCTCCAAAGTGGGGCTCCACCCTGGTGTCTACCTTTGTCCTGAGTTCTGGAAACTTGCCCTGAGGCTTCTAACAAGGGCCTCAGGGCCAGGAGGCCCCAGAAGCCGTGCCCTGGGCTGCAATCTGCTGTCCTGGTGTCGTCACACACGGGGGTCAGTGACTTGTGCTCACGCGTCTGGAGTCGGCCACCTTCACCACCTTCGCCCTCCCCCTCGAGTAATTTCATAAGAGAGATTGAGGGACCTGGCTCTCACTTTGCCAAGGGCAGCCCCTTGGAGAAAGAGGCCGGGACCTGATCCCCCCCTGACAGAGGAAGAAGGAAGATGATGGGGTCCACGTTTTCCCCATTAACAGCCCTCTTTACAGGTCCCTTGGGCTCCGGGCCTGAGTGTCGGGAAGCCCCCAAGAAACCTTCTTGCCCTCCTACCATTTAAGTAAGTGCCCTGATTCAGCCCCAGGCGGCAACTCCCGCTCTGCCGCTCCAGCTGTGGGACCTGGTACCCGTCCCCTGTCCTCTCTGTGCCCAATCCCTCACCTACACGAATGGGGCTTCCGTGAGAATTAAACAGGATAATCCTCAGCACGGTGCCTGGAACGTGGTTAGCTGCGTGACTGTTGTCGCCGCTGCCCCACAAGGCCGGCAGAGAGCCAGGGGCCGTTGGTGTGCCAGCCAAGCTGCTCCTGGAGTGGATGGGGCGGGGGATTCTAGGCGATCCTTCCCCAGCATCTGGATATCAACCCCCCGCAATTCTGTCAGCCCTCGGGAAGGAGATACCGATCCTCACAGCCCCAGGGGAGGCTGGGCCGCAGCAGCTGCTTCCATTTACCCCAGGTGCAAAGCCTTGAAAAAGAGCACATTGTGTGTCTGCCGCGACATGAAAACGGCCGACAACGCTACAGCCTGCTGCACATTACAGATGAAGAGCCGAGACCCAGGACCAGAGGAGATGCCCAGGACATAGAGCAGGAGCGGTAAAGCCTTGACTTTTCCGTCAGAGAGCGTTTCTGTGGATGAGGAGAAAGTAGCTCAGAAACAGTAATGGGAAACAGGATTCAGTGTAGAGAAATGCTATTTTCATAGGACTCTGCAAGGACCCACGGACTCCCAAAGCCAGGCTGCCTAAAATTAACACCAGGAGGGGTCGCTGTGAGGGCCCCCACTTCTCAGAGGACCATCTCCCCAGCCCTCGCTGAGCTCAGGTGCAGAGGCTGAGGCCAGGGCTGAGGTTTGGCCAGCGTGGCTGGGAGCAGGGAGAAGGACTGTCCTCAGGGTCAGAGTCATCCGTGCCAGGCTGCCTTCTACAACCGGCACAGCTCAAATGAAAAAAAATTTTAAACACATGAAAAAATGAAGTAGGCAGCTTAGGTGTACGAGCTTGTGCCAGGCGCTTTCACATTTAATCTTTTTTTTTTTACAACTCCAGAGACAGATGTTATTGTCCCCACTTTATAGCTGTGGAAACCAGTTCAGAGAAGTTAGGTAACTTGTACAAAGTCACACAGCTAGTGTGTAGAGAAGCCAGAACTAGGAACCCATTTCCTAAGAGGCAAAAATGCCAAGTCAGGCTTGCAGGGCTAGGAGCGGAGGAACCTCAGAAAGGCTCAGGAGACAGCACAGCCTGGCTGACATTCCAGCAGAGGAAATGTGACCCAGACAGCACTGGCGGAGGGAGGGCAGGGAGGGGGTCTGTTGGCTCTGCCCCAGAACTGGCTCTGTGACCTTGGGGAAATCACTCCTCCGCCTCTCTGAACCCTGGCTGCTGGGCACTGGCAGGGAAACAGAGGGAGATAACCCCTGACTTCTGAAAAAGGAAGTGAATCTAACCTGCTGAGCCCATTAGACCTCTTGGAGGCAGACTCAGAGGCTCTCCTGAATTCACAGGTTGTGAGCAACCTGGGGATTGGGAAGCAGAAACCCCACACCTGTCCTCCCCCAGGTCCCAGGGAGCCAGGCCTTCCGCCTCCCCAGAAAGGAATCCAGGCCTGGCAGGGGCGGCAGACAGCCAAGCTTCCCTCCAAGTGTGTGTAGACAGCCAAGGCCTGAGTCACTCCCGGCCTGGCCCAGGGAGGTGGGCCAGCTGCCCGAGAGTCGGAGAGTCATTCTCCCGACTTTGCCCAAGGTCATCCCAGCCAGTCTCCTGCAGGGCCAGGTAGGGCCCACATGGGGGATGTGAGAGCCCAGGAGCCAGAATGGATTCCCATTCTGCCTGGGCCTGGTACGGCTGTGTGACTTGGAGAAATTATTTCATTTCTCTGAACTTCAGCTTCCTCATCTGTCAAAGTTGGGATCATACCTACGTGGAAGGGGTGTTGTGATAGGATTTATACGGGTGCCTCAGCATAGGAAGCACCCAACGAGACAGGTTGGTGCGACCTCCGGCCCGGGTCTTGGCCCTTTTCCTGAGCTATACTCAAACCTTGAGTGATCTTATCCAGTCCCACAGCTTTGACACTGTCTACACGCCGAATATTGGCTCCCACATGTCTCTCGCCCTGAGGTCTCCCGGGAACACGCCCTTGAACTCCACACTTGCACAGCCGACCCGCTGCCTCCACGTGGATGTCCAACAGCAGCTCCAACGTAACTTATCAGGTGGATGAGTAAAGAAGGGAAGGAAAGAAGTTGGAGTGCAGCAACTGTGGGTTCCCTTCCCCTCTCTTCCTTCTCCGGCTCATATCAACGGTGGGGACGGGGTGCTTTCTCCATTTCCAAAGCCCTGTCTTCTCTGCATTCTCATTCAGTCCTCACAACAAACCTATCATTTATACAGGGTGTGCATTATTACCCCACTTCACAGACGAGGCAACCGAGGCCAAGGCTGCTCAGTGACACGGTCAAGGTGCCTGAGCCCTCTGCCGCCGGGCCTGAGGGCCTCCTCCCTGGCACACAAGGCTGGTCTGTTGGTCTTCTTTCCAAGCCAGCGACAGCTCCAGCGGGCAGGAGATCGACCCCCTCCAACACCTGAATTGATACTCTGCTGCCTCCCAGGAGGACCAGGACTCAACCCCAGAAGGTGGGGATTAGAAGAGGAGGCCTCAGGAGGAGGTACGGGGCTGGGAGGCCAGAGGTCCCAATTGCCAACACTTTTCTGTACGCCCCCCCCTCCCCATTCTTCTGAAGTGACTACCCGAGGCCAGCTGTGTCCCTGCACACCCCTGGCTCCCTCCTCTGAAAACTCCCAGGGACAGACCGGATCTTGTGATCTATCTGTAACTGCTGTGATCACAGCCTGCAGAGGGACTCGCTGTCCCTTCTTGCATAAGATCTGGGCCCAGCCCAATGGCACTACCATTCCAGGCCACTAGGTGGTGTCCCAGGGCTCAGGCCACAGCTGCTCCCAGGAAAGGGCATACAGATCAGCTTCTCTCCAAGAACTCAAAAATCAGCCCCACCCCCGACTCTCGGGCTGACTAAAAGGAAGAGGAGCCACCCAGCCACTCCAGGGATCTTAGAATCCAAGACTGGAAGAGTTTCAAAATAATTTATTCCCAAGGTGCGAAATACAAGGCGCACACGCCACTTATTTATATCCTGTGTCCTTGGCAGACATCACTAATCCATCTAGGTATTGTCCTATGGAACCCACACAGCCTCAGAAGCCTTTTCAACTCAGCCCTCTGGGCAAGTCACTACCAAGTGATTAGAACTGGCAAGCAAGATACACCCTGCTTGCCAGCCCTTTCATTTCCCGTATGAGAAGACCAGGCCCAGGCTTATTTTGTCTCATTAGGAATCTGGGCTGCAAAAGCCAGCAGGGCCAGAATGAGGTCATATGACCCCTGGGATGCTTGTGTAACCATGGTTAAGTCCTGGGGAAACCTCAAGTGGGTAATGGCAGTGTTAATGGAGAAGCCGCTGGGCCTGGGGCAGCTGCATCCTTGTCCAATTGTCACCTCAGACGTGATGGGGGCAGGGCACAGGGAAGTCTGCCTGAGCTTCTTGGCTTCTGAGCTAGAGAGGCCCCAAAAGGGGAGAAAGGAGGGCGGGACAAGAGACAGAGAGAGGCTGTCAGGGTCTGTGTGTGTGTGTGTGTCCGAGTGTGTAAGTGTGTGTGTATGCGCGTGAGCACCCGGCGGGGGAGGGGGGCGGGGGCAGCCCTGACAGAGGCGCCTTGTCCTCCGGTCCCTGCACAGTCTTGTTTTCTTCCCAAGCTATTAATGTCACTGCAGCTTCAAACGCCCGGTGACCTTTAAATGCCGAGCCTCCTGCTCCAGACCAAGGCGCGGAAAGGGCTTAATGGAAACTCAAACGGCCACAGCTGCTGGGGCCGCAACAAAGCCAGCCTCATTCATTCCCGAGGCACCAGGAGCTGCTGGGCAGCCACACCTGTGCCCACCCCCCGGGGAAGGGGGTGTCAGGAAGGGCAGAGAGGACCCTCGGGCACGGCCATTGGGAAAAGGAGGCCTTATTGGACCTAAGAGAAGAGGAGGAGGAAGAGAGGGAGAGGCAGACTCAGTTCTGCCATGCCTGGCTGTGTGACCTTGAGTTAGCCACTTACCTCTCTGGGCCATCCCCCATCAATTAGTCCAATCTAAGGCTGGGGCAGGAAAGAAATCCACCTACCCCAGTAATATCTTTTAAAAATCTATAGGAGAAAAAAAACGAAAAAAGATGTTTTCTTTCCTAATTTTTCTCTCTCTTGCTTCAACTTCTGTGGGCAGGTCTATAGCTGATGGGGGCTGTTGGGTATGGACTAGGGCAAGAGGTTTCAAAGGAAGTTAATAAGGTCCCTACCCTATGAAAGGACTGGCCCCAGAGCTTCAGTTCTAAGGACACCATTGTTCATCTTTGTTCCTGAGGCCCAGACATTGGGCTTGGTTGCTGTAAAAGGGCTGAGAAGTCAGCTCTGCCTTCCAGTTGAAAAGATCCAAGATGAAGCTCCTCAGGCATGAGTAACATGTCATTTGTTCGGCTCATCTTGGTAGAATGACGGTAATAATAGCAATAATGATAACATAACACTTATCGCCTGCTTCTTTATGTACCAACCACTATTCCAAGTGCCTTATGCCTGTTAATAACTCTTTTCATCCTCTCTACAGCCCTAAGAGGTACATATTACCAATGCTGTTTCCACTTTATAGATAGAAAAATGAGGCACAGAGGAGTCGAGGAATTTGTTCAAGGTCACACAGCTAAGTGGCCAAACTGATCTGACTCCAGACCTGGCACTCTTAATCCGTCAGGCCTGACCCCCTCTCTGCATTCCCGAGGCTGAGCACGGAGTCAGGCACACAGCAAGAACTCAGTAACTGTGAACTGAATTGACTCCTAATGGGGCAGAGTTGCCCCTGGAGAGGCTGGGGGTGCCTGGTGCTCATGTCCAGGGAAGAAGGGAGGAGGAAGGAGTCCAGGCAAAGCCTACCAGAAGGAAAGACAGAACCATGGCAGTTGCCTTACAGATCCCTTTTCTCTACTCCACCAAGGTTGTCAGTTGCCTGGGCAACCAACTGTTTTCCATCTCTACCTGAACTGGTTGGGACTATTTCCACAACAATCCGTCTCTCCATCAACAAGCGTTACCAGCTCGGCCAAGACACTCAACCCAGGCGCCTGGGAGGAGATCAGACTTCAGTTGACAGAGGGGAAGCTGCTCCCCGCTGCCCCACCCAGGGACTGCAGCCTTGCGGAGCGCCTCTGGGCTGGCAGGAATGTGTTTGTACCTGGGACCAAGTGCAATGGCCCAAACTGGGAGAAGGGGGCACTGGCAGCTCAGGTGCCAGGCAGTGAAGCTGGGCTGGCTCCAGGCATGAGCTCTTGCTGGCCCAGTTCCAGCTCCTTGGGAAAGAGGGGCCAGTTGCCCCTCCCCGGGCATGTCCTTCAGGCGGTTAAGCTGAAGGCCCCTCCACGGGCTGGGCCTGCATGGTCTGATGCTGAGCCCTGAAGTCTGGGCAGGGATGTCTCTGGGCCCCTGGGACAGGTGGTCAGTCAGTGATGCCACATAATTCAGTATCTGAGCATGCCCAGGGAGTCCAGGCCAAGGAACCAAGATTAGGGAGGGATGCTCAGAGCAGAGGAGGGTCCTGGGAACTGAAGTCCCAACTCCTGTCCCCTTACCCCACACTAGCACACACTTTGCACCCACCCACTGATCCATGAATTCCACTTCTGTGGAATTCATATAACACATTTAACGGAACACTATACAACGGTAAACAAAAATAAGGCATCTCTGTATGTCTCTATGCCCAAGACCTATTGCTTAGGGGAACAATGCAAGGCACAGAAAAGTAAGTACAGTCTCTATACTATAGTGCATTATGGTATGTGTATGTCTACATATGGAGAGGGTGAGGGAAAGGGCTCTGAAAGGATTCCTAAGAAACTGATACTATAGGCTTCCACTGGGGAGACTTAGGTCATAAGAGACAGATCAAGAAAACTTTTCTCTGTAAATCCTTTGGTACCTTTTAAATTTTGATTCATGTTCATTAATTTTAAAATTATAAAATAAGCAGATAACCTACAAAGAATATCAAAATGATAGCTCTGCCAGTGATTTTCTGTTCTCTTTGCATATGCATATTATCTACAATTGACATGCATTACTTTTTAATAATAGTCATAGCAAATATCTATGAGCACACACTGTGTGCCACACACTTTCTAAACACGTGGCATGCATCATCTCATCAAAGCCACCCCACAGTAAAGCAATGATCATACCCATTTTACAGATGAGGAAACTGAGACTCAGAGAGTGTAAAGAACTTACGTAGGGCCACACAGTCAGTGACAGAGCCAAAATGTGAAGGCAAACAGTCTGTCCCCAGAGTCCATGCTCTTCTCAACCTCCGTCTTACACTGTTCTCTGATTTTAAACAAACCAAACCAAAATCAACTGAATGATGACAGAAAGAAATCTTAAAAGCACAGAGCCTCCAGGGCTTTAAAACTTTTGTGATCCTTCGAATCCCAACTCCATCCCTCCTACCCGGACTATCTGGGCAAGCCCTCCCTGGCCAGAGCCTCAGCCTCAGGGCCAGGGCCCCACCTATCTCCTGGGAGGGTTGCAGGGTACACAGAGATTCCCGGTGGGCAAGGTGATGGCTGATGCCACAGCTGTTTCAGGGGTCAGACCACAGTGTGGAGGGCCCACCGGAGCAGCGCAGTGGGGCGGGGTCTAGCCAGGAAGCTCCCCGTGGAGGGGAAACCACAAGTTGGTTTTTACCGGCGCTGTGTCTGGGGTAGGAGCGCAGCGGTTAAGGATGGGCTTGAGCTCAGGGCTAACCCCGGCTTCCATCCCGATCACTGCTGCTTGGGTGAGTGGAACATCTCTGAGTGCGTTTCCTCATGTGTAGAACAGGGACACCTGTATGTCCTCAGACAGGTTCCTGAGGGGGATCACGTTCTCTCAGTCGGGGCAGCCGTCAGTAAGACTGTCTGTGTCTAGAGCCTGGCCCAGGAGTCAGGCCTGGGGTTATGATCTTTTTTTTTTTTTGGCTGCGTTGGGTCTTTGTTGCTGCGCGTGGGCTTTCTCTAGTTGCGGCGAGTGGGGGCTACTCTTTGTTGTGGTGCACTGGCTTCTCATTGGATGGCTTCTCTTGTTGCACGGGCTCTAGAGCACAGGCTCAGTAGTTGTGGCGCACGGGCTTAGTTGCTCCGCGGCATGTGGGATCTTCCTGGACCAGGGCTCGAACCCGTGTGGCCTGCATTGGCAGGTGGATTCTTAACCACTGTGCTACCAGGGAAGCCCCTGGGGTTATGATCTTGAATCCAGCCCTGAGCGGGGAGAGTATGCAGCATGAAGGCTCTTCTCAGGTGCCTCCAGGACCTCAGGCTGGGGTGCTCTGGGACCCCTGCGTGGAGCTCCCGCTGCTGCTGGGGGCTGGGCTGGTTTGACAGGGTCCTGCCCCCAGGGAGGGGCTCCAGGCTGGGCAGCAGGAGCACAGGCACACAGAGGGCCCTTCTCCGAAGTGCTTCCTATAGCAGCTGGGGAATGCAGGTCCCGGGCTGGGGAGCAGGGGCTTGGGGAGGGGCCCAGCTTCAAACAGCAGGAGGCAGCTGCAGCCCGAGGGCCACCACCCCTCGCAGGCAGGCAGCCGGGACACCATCAGAAATTCCGCCCCGCCCAGACAGCAGATGGGACTGTTCAGAGCCACTTACCAGGCCCGTGCTACTCTCCCCAACCGCAGGCTGCTCGCTCCCCCGCGCCCCTCCTCTGCCACCGCTGGGCTAGGTATCCCTCCCCACCTGTGGCCCTCCCTCACCCACACTGCTCAACTCCAGTACCCACGTGCCCACACATGCCCTCAGGAAGAAACCCCATGCTCTCCCTGCCAGATGGTGTGTGTTGCCTGAGGTCAGAGCTCAGTGGCCACAGAGCTGGGATCTGAACCCAGATTGTGGCCTCCTGGGCCAGCGCCCTGTCCCCGTGTGGGCGTGCACCCCAGCGCAGCGACGCACAGCTCATGCGTCTGCTTGTGCCACATACACCAGCTCCCTCCGAGCCTTCACTGCACAGGCGGGTGCCACAGATGCCTCAGGCCCTCACAGCCAGGGGCCACGCTCCCTTCCTTTAGATTTTCCTGAACCCTCCCGCCCAGCCCAGGCACTCAGTCCACTCCTCTCTTCACCCAACTTGGAAGCTGTGTTCTTCCGCCAGACTGTCCTACACACACGCTAACGTGCACTAACCGCCCCCTCAGCCTTCCCACGGCCCACCCTGCAACCCCTCCCTTCGCTAGGCTGACAGCAGGGCCAGATGAGGCCCTGGTCCCTCTCTCTCTTCCCCAAATGTGCCCAGAATGGTTTTTTACAGCATCAGGTGCATCAGTGGTGAGGGGTGAGGTCAGGCTGACCTGATTTGCAGCAAATCTGGCCAGAACCAGAACCTGGAAGTGGCACACCCTGGCCCAGAAATCAGCTTTCCGGTTCCCTGCAAAACCAACTCCCAGATGGGAGTGAAGGAGGGCTGCAGGCCCGCTGGGGCTGGTAGCCCTGGCCCTCAAATCTGACAGTCAGGGGAAGGGGCAGGAGATCCTGGCGGTCCCAGAACCAGCCTGCTTTGCCTCCAGGGGGCCTCAGTCTCCATCCCTAGAAAATGGAGAGAAAGAGTCCCTGTTCAGTCTGACCTTCCCCATCACTGAAACCTCCCAGAGATGCAAGGACATGAGTTGGGGTGGGGGACGGATCAGAGCCAGAGAAAGGCACCACCAAGCTAGGTACAAACCATGGTGACACCTCTGCAGAAGGGGGTGGCTGCATCCCAGTCCCCCAGGGCTGGAAGGACCTGGACCCTTTCTTTAGCTACAGAACCGGAACCCTTGTCCTCAAATGACATCCTCAGCAGACATCCATTCCATAAAGACATAAAGCAGAGGCCTGCCCTCCCCTCCCTCCCCCAGCAATTAGCGATCAGAGAACCTGCCATTTACTGAGTGCTGGGCTGTGCTTCCCGTGCACTGTGTTAATCCTCACGATAATCTAGTACCGCAGATTATTACCTTCTACCACCATCAGAGCCATTTTACAGATAGGGACAAGGGGTCGTCATGTGTGACCTAAAGGTCGTCCAGGGCTGCACCACATCCAAATTGCATGGCCTCACAGGAAAGAAACCAGTGTGCTGTCCAGTCTTCTGACACACCAGTTTCTTGCAACCTGCTTTAAAGCCTAGGTTTAACCAGAGCTGTTTGCATCTCTGCCTGTTCCCCGCACTGCTACCGGCCTGCTCACGAGGCTCTGGGAAGAGCAAATGTGCTTTTCTATCAGTCTAAAAGCAAATGCCCTTTGCGTTATAGCAATGTATCTGAGAGGATGGTGGAGACCGCCTTCACCAGACTCCTCTGAGGGGTTTGCTAAGGACACACATTCTTCACCCCACTATGAAATCAGAATTTCCGGGGCTACAGCCTGGGAATCTGTATGTTAACAAGTTCCCCAGATCATTCGAATGTGCAGTAAAGTGTGAGGACCACTACCTTACAGAGTGATGCGGTTTGGGGCCCCAGATTCTGACTTTAGCTCCATCACTGACCAGCCAAGGGAACTTCAGCAAGTCATTTCACCGCCTGAGCCTTCAGGTACCCATCTGAAAAATGGGCAAGGAGGACTAAATGATCTTCAAGGTCCCTTTCATTCTTGGCATCCTCTGTGTGTGCCCTGAGTCCCCAGATGGTCCACAGCTGTCTGAGCTGAGTTTCGTGGACTGTTCAGTCACTGGAGCAGCTGAGGTACACTGTAGGCACACATTAAAAAGAATTCCTATCTGGCTGATTTACGGAGATCTGCAAAAATACCTTATCTCTGGCTCCAAGCCCTGAAAAAATGGCTTTTGGATTATCCATGCCACCTCCCTGCTCCCCTGAATAGCCATTTTTTTCATTCCAGCCTGAGCCAATCAGGATTCTGTAAACATTAGGCCCACACACCTGGGCTTAATCCACAGTCATCAAACAAACGCTCTGCCACTTCACCCCACAAGCCCAAACTCGCAGCCGCTCTGTCCCTCCCAGGGAAGCCGCCAGCCAGGGATGTGTGGACCCTGCACTCCCTTCCTTCCAGTGTGGGATGGGCACGAGGGCTGGGTCGGAGAGAGCGTGTAGCTGGAATGGCCCCAGCCTACAAGTGGGTTACAAGTCACCCAGACTTAAGGGGTATGAGGCGACAATGAGGACAGTCCAGCAATTGCTGGGACCTTTCCAAAGCAGCTGGACACTCCTTAGTCCCGTGTCTCCTTGATGAGCACTGTTAAAACACGAGGTATTCAGCTAGTGCTCAAGCACTTCTTGCTGGTGGCAAACACGACTGACTCATCCTTCAAGGTTTATGAAGCTTTGACAGAGGAGCTGTAGTGGTTTTCCGGCCCACAGCCCACGGACACGGGGTGAGTCCGGATTCATGCTCCCTTTGTGTGGCACAAAGGGGGGAGCCCATATGCATGTGCCAAATAACCAGAGGAAAGACCGACAGGAAAGGCAGGAGTGAAAACCCAGCTTCCACGGTGGGAAGCACCTGTGAATTGCAGCCGAGGTCTGCTGATCCCAGCCGTTTAAAAATCCTGAAATGGATCATTCTCTCACTCTGAACGTGATGACTGCCCCCAAATGATTGTGCTTTACATGTGCACCGCGCTTTACAGTTTCCAGTGCTGGGGGCGAGTTCCACAAGCCAGGCTCTAGGCTGGGCCTGTTCCCCGAGAGCAGGGGCTCAGCTGGTACCATGCTGGGCACTTTACCTCCATGGAATCCTAGCAACAGCCCTACGAGGTAGGAGGTGTTACCTTGCAGATGGGGAAGCTGAGGCACAGAGGAATTAGATACCAAGCGGCTAAGTCAGGATTCTACCCCCAAGCCCATGTTCCCAACCACTCACTGCACTGTCACCCTACTTATAATGAGGAGCCTCTGATCTCTGTATGGGGCACAGAGGGAAACTGAGGCTCCAGAAGGGTTGGGAACGTGGGGTCACCCTGGGGCTGCATGGATTGGCCAGGAGCAGGGAGATAGAAAAGAAGGGGGTGCAGTCCAGCTCAGAGCAGAGCAGGCCGGTCCTGCCATATGCCTCCTCTGCTACAGGGGTCCCAGGGCCAACAGGACCCTGCCAGGCTCCGGCTCCCACCCCCAGCAGGGTCCCCCTGTCCGTCCCTGGGCTCTTCAAGCTGGGTTTCCATCCCAACCACAGCGGGCAGCAGCTGAGTGAGTCGGGCCCAGCAGGAGGAAGTGGCCACACTTGAAAATCATTAACATGCAGGGCTGAGCTCAAGCCTTTGTTCTTGAGCAAGGACTGTAGCATTTCACTTTCAGGAAGGAGCTGGGAGGGTGGGGCAGGATCAGAATTGCACAACCAAATGCACAAGCTCAGACACACAGAGGTCCCACGTGGAAAGTCTGCTTA